TGATAGAAGTGTTCTATACCTGTGCTAGCCACTACTCATTTGTGACTATTAAGCACTTGAAATGTGGCTACTATGACTGAAGAAATGATTTCTTCATTTCATTTAATTTTAATCAGCCACACGTAGTTACCATATTAGATATCAAAGTTCTAGAGCAAAAAGGATTTCCAGATTGCCCTTCTCTGCCTCAAAAACAATCACCACTGAAAAGGATTAAACATCAAGCTGCAGAGAGCCACAAAGGGTGTTGCTCCCCTGGTAGGTAGAAAATGGCAGCCACCTGTCAACCAAAACGCCTAAAGAATACAAGATGCTGGTAATCAGCCTAACTGCCCAGAAGGGGCAGTTCGTCAACAAATGGAGATGAAACCATCACAGAAGTCTTCTCCACTGCCCTACCCTCAACCCCAGCTACGCAGAAAGCGTGAAGAGCCACCATTCCAAACAGAAATGCTGATTACTCTATAACCTGACACTAAGAAGCCTCTAACTCTACCCCACCCCCAACCCTGAGGATTTAGAGGCAGCCCATTAAGGGTTCTAAGCTCATGACCCCCTAAAACAGCTCTTGCCTAGACCAAATACCTGAGTGTTGTCACCTCTCCGTGTTTTTTTTTTTTTGAGATAGAGTCTTGCTCTGTCACTCTGGGTAGAGTGCCGTGGCGTCATCACAGCTCACTACAACCTCAAATTCCTGGGCTCAAGCTATCCTCTTGCCTCAGCCTCCCAACTGCAGCCTCCTGGGACTACAGGTGTGTGCCATGATGCCCAGCTAATATTTCTATTTTTAGTAGAGACAGGGTCTCGCTCTTGCTCAGGTTGGTCTCGAACTCCTGACCTCAAGCCATCCTCCCACCTCGGCCTCCCAGAGTGCTAGGATTATAGGTGTTAGCCGCTGCACCTGGCCTCTCCATCTGTGTCTTTATACATACAGGCATGGCTTGGTTAAGCTTGAACTATGGGGCAATGAATGAGTAGAGGGTAAAAATTTAATCAAATTTGATCACCAGGTGGCCATGAGCCAGCCCAAAGCCTCACTGGCATGGCAGAAACCCTCTGGTAGGAATGAACTCAACACTGCCAGGCTGCTAGCAGCAAAGAGTCACTCTAGACATCAGCCCCAGATTCCTTAACAAGCCAATAAATAGCAAAGGGACTGTATCCCTCATTACGCCAGGTTATACCTCGAAACTGGCATCAATGCAACAGAGCAGCATGAGTTGGAAGATTTTGAGTCATATCTTACAAGTACCTTTAAAGAATTTTCCCTGCACCGTGAATAACAGTTCTAGGCCTGCTAAGCTACCACTAGTAACTCAAATCCCGCATTTAAGAGGCATGTTATGCTCCAAGGGTGTGACCAGTGGGAACGCTGACATCTGACACGCTCACATTTGACTATTTCATACATGGGGCAGTGAAAGCCAGGAAAATGGAAATAAACTCAATCAGTTATAAAACATTATGATGCCATATAAGGGTGAAAAGTGCCTAAATAAACATCTTTTAGATGTCAATATAGATTTACAATCTCTTTTCTGAAATCTTATAGACAGATGTTTTGCACTTTAGTGTTTTAGGAATTTTATAATGATAATATAGCTTTAAAATACATAATAACCTCCATGGGGTCTGGGGCAGCACCTTGCCAGCAAATACATTAATATTTCTATAGCAAGGCTGGGCAAGGTGACTCACACCTGTAATCCCAGAACTTTGGGAAGCCGAGGCAGGAGGATCACTTGAGGCCAGGAATTTAGGACCAACCGGGGCAACATAGGGAGACCCCATCTCTACAAAAAAACTGAAAAATAGCCAGGCATGGTAGCATGCACCTACCATCCTAACTACTCGGGAGTCTGAAGTGGAAGAATCACTTGGGCTATGATCATGCCACTACATTCCAGCCTGGGCGACAGAGTCAGACCCTGTCTCTTAAGAAATTTTTTTTTCTATAGCAAAACATGAATACTCACACTAATTCTGATAAGGTTTTGCTGCCAAATTTATAAAGACACTTTTGATTTTCAAACCACTTTTGGGTTCTGGAAGCACACACAGATGATATGGATCTATAACCCCAAATGGTGTCCTTCTTCCACTGTTGGTCATGTATCTTAGTGCTCATGGCCACTAAAACCATGTTGGTTCAAGTTCATCTACTCTACTCGGGACACAGGTTAAGCTGAGAACACTGGTTTTCCTAGAATACTAGCAAGAAGGGTTAGGAGGCAGCAATGAGTAGGATTTACTGGGTGGTAAGGACCTAAGTGATGATTCTTCCAACCTGTTTCTTCTATAGTAAAATAATCTCTCTTTTCCTAATTATAAAAAGAATTTTAATGGCTATGATGAGCATAAGACAAGACTGGATCTCTTCCATCCAAAACAAGCAACAGAAAATGTGAAAAATCAGGCCCTTATTTCAAGGAGCATGAGGACAAAAAAAAAAAAAAAAATCAGTGTAGTTATTTTCCTACCCAGCTTGATTTGGCTTCCTGAAATGCTCAGTTTTAGAGGAACCTCTGAAAGTTTTTGATTTCCATGCCTATGCAAAACCAGGTTTGTTGACTTGAGGGAAGCCACAAACCAAAACACAAATGTAACTACTTATACAGAACGAGGACTTACTTATAGTACTACATTTTCCTCTGGCACTAAATAGGAGAGAGAAACCCACATCTGATTCCTTTCAACACCTGGTCTGAAGCCTCCCTTTACCAAGGCCTTATCCTAAAGTAGGTAGACTTGAGACACACTGACCCGCCAGATGAGACAAAGTTGCAAATCTCAGGTAGTTGTCACCTCCACTCTGCCGCACCCAACTGCTGCCATAAATTTCCATCATGGGCCCTGTCCGAAAAGGAGCTTATTCTAGGGAGAATATAACCAGCCAAGGCTCAAGAGGACAAAGCCTCAAATTTCTCAGGACCAACAAGCACACAACGGACTCACCTTCTGCCTGCAGAGAGGTTCCTTCTTGTTCTCTTCGGCCTTTGCATCCTGTTGCGTGGCATCTTTGGGCGTGTTTACTGCTAAAACATCATTTATTGTGGAGCCAACCACCATGATCTTGGCCCCACTGGTCACTTTTATCTCTCTCAGTGTCTTATCCTCGGGGACGAGTCCTTTATACATGACTTTCTGCATGGCAGGAGGGAGACCTTGGGAAAAGGTAGAGGGCAGACAGTGAAAGGAAGGAACAAAAAATGTATGGAGTATGCACAGCCCTTCTGGAACAGATCAGTAAGTGATCACTGGCTCTACCACCTATTAGCTTCGTAAACTTGGGCGATTCATGCCCTCTGAGGGTCAACTTCCAGAACTTCATAAAAGTGATGAGAATAGGTCTTTCTGTATAGACTTGTTTTAAAGATTAAGAGACAGGACAAATATAGAGCATTTAGTGTGGCGCCTGATATTCCATAATTGTTCAATAAATACTAGCTCTCATTCTTTCCAAGTTACTCCCCAATCATCTGATTAATTACTCAAACATTAAGTGAGAATCCATAGGCATCAGGGATACAGAAACCAATACGAACAAAGTTCCTGTTCTTATGCACCTCACAGGCTACACGTAGAAACCTCAAAAGATAAATCATTTCAGATGGCACAGCACTATAAAGATAAAATTAAGAAATATTAACAAATGTGAAGGGCCAGCATGATAGTTAATAGGAGTGTTTCCTAAACTTCCCTTATGAGAATTACCTAAGATATCTGCTAAAAATAAATCTCTGGCTACATCCCAGACCCACTGAATCAGAATCTCCTGGGGAACAGCCTAGGGGCTGTTAATTTAACGAGGGCCTTAGGTGAGTTTTTTATTAGAGATGCTAGGGCAACATTAGTGATAAGCTCAGGCTAATTGTCAGTCCTGGCCTTGAATCCTAGCTCAACCACTTACAAGCTCTATGATCTTAGATCTCTTTCCCCATCTGAGTAAATAATGGGCATTCAAGTATCCTTCGGAAGATTGAGAGAGCTGATGCAAGGAAGTGGCCAGTACGGTGCCTAGCACAGTATAAGCACTACGAATGAACAAGCAGAGTGGGTAAAACAGGCTGTCAGCGCCTCGGGGATTACCTGTAATCGAGTGAATCTTCTGTTTTAGCTCGGAGCCTGTGCTGTCCAGGGGGAACTTCACGTCGTGCTTGGTCTTATTCCAGATGATCTTCAGGTCCACCAGCTCCCTGCCTGCGCCGCCGCCCGCATCCTCGCCATTGCTGACCGAGGCCTGGGCCGCGGGGTCCCCAGGGGGCTGGGCCGGGGCCGGCTGCAGGCTGCCTCGCGCTGCGCAGGAGTCCTCGGCCGCCGCCCCCGCCGCGGCTTCGGCCTCCACGCAGTTGAGAGGCCGCGCGGGCGCCTCGGTCGCCACCGTCTCGGCCTCCGTGTCCATACCAGGTTCCTCCATGCCTGCAAGGGGTTAGGGGGTGGGCGCTCGCCGCGGGCTGGGCCTGGGACCGGACTCTGCCCGGGCGCCGCCGGACCACTGCTCCCGAGCCACGCTCCTCCCTCCGGGGCCAGAACGCATCCCCCGACGCAACGCCCGCAACCTCGGCCCCAGCCAGGCGCCCGCCACCCCCTCCGCACTCACCATCCGGGGCCCCGGCCGCCGCCATGATGATTGTGTACAACACCCACCACTCCCGCACAGGCCGCTGGGAAGAAGCGAGCTGGCTGAGATTGGCCCCCGCTGCAGCCCCTAATCTCTCCCAGCCTGGCCGGAAACAGGTGGAGGTTTCTATGGAGACCCGCCTCCTCCGCTTCCCCGGTCCAGCCCCTGCCACGCTTTAGCTTTCCCGAGCCGAGGGGGGCGGGTCCGGGAAATCGCCCGCTCGTGGGCTCTGCCCCCTAGTGGCCGAGTGGGGCCGCAGCCATCCAGGGGGGCGTGGGCTTTGGCGCCAGGAGGCCTGCGACTTTAAGGGGCGGGGTTGCCCTCGCTGTGGCGGAGGCGAATTGGCTGGGAGATGTCGCCGGAAGTGACGCAAGGCGAAGCCCACGTGTGCGGTGCCAACCCACATGGCGGCGCTCCTGAAGAAGCTGCTGAGGCGCGGGAGGCCCTCGGCGGCCTTGAGGTGCCATGTGGGACGGCGCGAGGCCAGCCTGGGCACTCATCCCGCGGCTGCGGTGCGAGTACGGTTCGCCCCTAGCCCCACAGGTAACCTTGGTGGACGTGACGGTGCAGGCCGAAGCCCACTGTTCCTGTCTCCGCCCCCTGGAATGTCCCCGAACGAATCCCTTCCGGTGGTGTCAGACTGGGCGGGTTGGCGGGCTGCGGGACCCCATTTTACAGAGGCAGAAACTGAGATCCACGAGCGGAAGTGATTCTTATTGCCAGGAAGTTCTGTTATTTGTACCAAAAGATTTCTTTCGGTCTCTTATATTCATGTATCCGGTAAATGTGTGTTGATCGTAAACTATGTACCAGGTACTGTTGTAGGCACAGTGATTGTAGGGATAGAGTGATTGTTGAGAAAATTAGGGCACCTGCTCTCAAGAAGCCTACATTCTAGTGGCCGCGACAAACACCTCTAAAAACAAGTGTAATTTTAGAGTCACGTTTTGTGTGGGAAACTAAGCAGGGTAGGAGACTGGGGTTCGGAAGGATGATCAGGAAGGCCGTGCTGAACAGATGACATTTGAGCTGAGAACCAAATGACAAGGAGCCAGCTATGTGAAGCCTCCAGAAGGAACACTTGGGGCAGAGGAAATTGCAGATGTAAAGGACTTGTCGTTAGTGTTGTTGGGAGCTTAGCAAGCCAGAGGGTGGCAGAGGCCCATTGTATAGCCTGCTAGAGACCTTGTCAAGGCCTCCCCACCAGTTTCCAACATTCTCTTTTTACCAAGGCTGTCTTCTGCCCTGACCACACTGAGCGCGCCCTTCATTCCAACCCCCTTCCCCTCGGGGCAGCACATAAGGATCTTTGTGGCAAGATCCCAGCTGTGCAGAGTAATAGGCTCTTTCTGGGCAGACAGTATAGCATAGAACAGTGCTTTTCAAACCATCCGTGGTGGAAGCACTGGTTTTTAATTTACAATCAATTGTGCATCAATATTTGTATAAAGTTAATTTAAGTGAATTACCAGAAAAATGAACATTTTGGAAACATACAAAATACAAACCATTTCTCTTTATTATGTTCAACAGACATAAAAATCATTCTGAATTTGCTGTAAGCTCCTAAACCTTTGCTCTCAGTTTCTATACTTGCTTGTGAACTGACAACAGTTTTCAGACCAGCACGGACTGCGTACCCTTGCTTTGAGAGGGTACGTAGAATGCCAAGGCCTGGGATTGTCTGGACCCAAATTTGTCTTTACCACGTTGTAGATACGTAATTTGGGCAAATTAATGTATCTGAGCCTTGGTTTTACTATCTGTCAAACAGGGGTAATAGGAGCGCCTGTCTCATTGTTTAAGCTCATTCAATTGAGCCACTTAGCAAGGTCTGGTACACATAGAAAGCACTTAATAAACAGCGTCTATTACGATGATTATAATTTTCCTTTCTTTGCTGATTTGCAGGAAAAACCCATATAGGAAAGACTGTTGACTATAAACAGATAAATAAAAGAATTATCAAGCACATAGATCTAATTATAGTAGCTAAAATTAATTGAGGGTTTACTTTGATTAGCATTTAGACCTCATAGCGACTACATGATAAGGAGGGTTTGCTTTTAATCCTGCTAGTAGATGAAGATATTGAAGCCCATAAAAGTTAAGTAGAGTTCCCAAGACATAGCAGATAGTAAATGATGGATGCAGAATTTGAATCCAGGTGTATTTGATGTAAGAGGACTTGCTGTCAGTTACTGGATCCAGGTGTATTTGACGTAAGAGGACTTGCTTTCAATTACTGTCTTCTGTCTTGGGGACTCCTGGGACCCGGTGCCACAGAACACCACTGGTTTTGTAGTTGCCTTACAATAACTGGCCAAAGGTCACACATATAATCAGTATTGGACCAGGGTCTGCCTGAACCCAGAAGAGCTTTTCCTTTCTTGTGCTGCCTCCTATACTTAGAAATGTAAATGAGCCCATTGTGGAGACTGAGGGCTGTGGGTTGGTCCAAGAAGATAAAATAAGAGGGCAATGACAGCCCTGAGAAACTGCTGATTTTAAGTTTTCAGTCAGGAATAATGAAAAAATAAAATCTTATGAGTTTAAACTCTACTGAAGAGAAATATCATGGAATCATTTACTACTTTTGGTGTCTAAAACCAGCACTCGAGCGTGCATGGTCTGGGCTCACTCGGCTCCATAAGCCCCCTGGTCCCCTGTAACATGAAAATAAAAAACGTAATACCAGCACTTAAAGCATAGGATATGGATAGTCATGTACAGTGCATGGAGTGCATATGCAAAATGTGATTTTATGGTATTTGAATTTGTAATTATCTTTTTCCCCAGAACACATTATCGAATTCGAATAAGTTAAATGCATGTGTAATATTGGCTTCGATGGATAATCCTCTGCATCTCTTCCTTTGAATGAAACTTGGCCTTCTAAAGGCCAAGTTTCAAAGCAGAGAAATGGGTGCAGTTGGAGCCTTTTTACAAAATGACAAAACCTAGGTAGTCTTCCACTTCCAGGATGAGGGATTAAACAAGTTGACCACCCAGTCCTCTTCTGTGGCAGTTTGGCTGTCTGGATGCTGGCTGGAAAGATGGGACAGGGGCAGCTATTTCTTGGTCTTTGGAATTTGTTGGGACATTCTGTTATGAGCATATCTTACTTGCCCCTCAGCTAAGGCCTATTAGCTCATCCCCCCTGTCTTGTCTGAGCTGTTCTCTTCTTCTACTAGGCTTCTTACATCTGGGTGGCCTCCGCACGGCCCTGTACAACTATATCTTTGCCAAGAAGCACCAGGGGAGCTTTATCCTGAGGCTGGAGGATACAGATCAGACCCGCCTTGTGCCTGGGGCAGCGGAAAATATTGAAGACATGTTGGAGTGGGCAGGTGAGGCTGGCAGGGAAAGGTCCCTTCTCCAAGGAATGAACAGGAAGTGGGGAAAGGAGCCTATAGATCTTTTCCTGGAGTCCAGGGTGGAGAACAAGGAGTTCCTGGAGAAATGGGTCCATTTGTGCTACCCAGGGTGGCAGGTGCCACCAAAGCTTCAAGGCTATTTTGAGATTCCTGTTTTTATATCTCAGAATCTCAAGTCCAATGCCTACAGGGGCCAGGCAGGAAATACAGGCCAAGTGGGAAATGGAGGAGGTCGGCCTGTGGGGAGCAGGAGAAAGCGTGCCTTTTCCAAAGGCGGCAGCACCTCTGAGTTCCAAGAGGAGCCACACATCCAGATTTTTTAGATGAATACTTACCATTGTTAAGTCAAGGTTCATATATATTTTTTAAGCACATCATATAAGCCAAACAAAACATGTGCAGTTTCTGAAGTTGATCTGCTTGTGGGAAGTTTATTCCTGAAGGCAGCTAAGGTCAGGGAGAACAAGGAGAAGTGTGTTTTCCTTTCCTGAGTCAACAGTTGCCTACCTGTAGGGACAGGTATGACTAGGAAAGGTCAAAATCCCCAAAGAAAACTACCAAGACTATTTTGAGATGTGTACTCTAATCTCAGGTAAATTATTCGCTAGACTCTGAGTTCCTAAAGGGCAGAAACTGATTTCATTTCTGTCTTCTGCTGTTGAAGTTTTTAGCAGATACTCAGTCAAGGTTTGTTGAATAAAAGAATTTATTCGGCTGGGTGTGGTGGCTCACACATGTAATCCCAGCACACTGGGAGGCAAAGGTGGGAGGATTGCTCAAGGCCAGGAGTTCCAGACCAGCCTGAGCAAGAGCAAGAGCCCGTCTCTACAAAAAGTAGAGAAATTAGCTGGGCGAGGTGGTGTGTGCCTGTGGTAGCATAAGCTACTGGAGGCTGAGGCAGGAGGGTGGCTAGAGCACAGGAGTTTGAGGTTGCAGTGAGCCATGATGCTGCTGCTGTTGCACTCTAGCCTGGGCGACAGAGTGAGACTGTCTCAAAAAACAAATTCATTCAATAGGATAACTTACTGTGATCCAGGCACCTATTTTAGGTGCTGGGGACATGGAGTGGAGACCCTGCACTCAGTGAGAAGGGGAAGACAGTTAAATAGACTGAGTTATTCTTTTTTTTTTTTTTTTTTTTGAGACAGAGTCTCACTCTTTTGCCCGGGCTAGAGTGCCGTGGCGTCAGCCTAGCTCACAGCAACCTCAAACTCCTGAGCTCAAGTGATCCTTCTGCCTCAGCCTCCCGAGGAGCTGGGACTACAGGCATGCGCCACCATCCCTGGCTAATTTTTTTTTTTTATATATATTTTTAGTTGTCCAATGAATTTCTTTCTAATTTTAGTAGAGACGGGGTCTTGCTCTTGCTCAGGCTGGTTTCGAACTCCAGAGCTCAAACAATCCGCCCGCCTCGGCCTCCTGGAGTGCTAGGATTACAGGCGTGAGCCACCGCGCCCGGCCTGAGTTATTCTTAATATGGTATTAAGTGATGATAAGCAGCATGGAGAAAAGGGTGACAGGTTAGGGAACCAGGACGAAGGCTGCCCTTTTAGGTTAGCGTGGTCTTCTCTGAGGAGGTGATGTTGGAGCAGAGACCCGCATGAAGTGAGGGGTCAGCCTCATGGTTACCTAGGGTACGAATGTTCAAAGCAAGGGAATAGCAGATGCAAAGACCCCAAAGAAGGAAAGTGCCGGGCATACTTCAGGAGCAGCAAGGAGGTGAGCATGGTCCAGCACGGTAAGCAAAGCAGAATGACCATGGCTGTGAGGACAGTGGTTGGCAGGAACCACATGGTAGTACCATGTGGGCCAAGGTGAGAGCTTCGATTTCACAGAGCACTTGCTTGTGTCAGGCACTGTGCCAGGCACAGGGGGTACAGTGATGAATGATGCTAATGGGTCCTGCCCTCGTGGAGCCCCTGGGGTAGCATAGTTGTGTGGACGAGGCCTGCAGTGCCTTAGCGGAGTTTGTCCCCCTACCCCAACATTTTGGAAAGGCAGAGGGCAGATATCCAGGCACCCCAGGTGGCTGACTTCTGGTGTGACTTTGAACACCTCACTGCTCTGTGCCTTAACTTTTCATCTCTAAAGGGGACATGGCGGTAGTGCTGACCTCGTGGATTACTGTGAGGATAAAGCTTTAATATACGTGCAAAGCACTTAGAACAGTGCCTGGGAATGAGTGCTGTGTGCATCTTAGTTGTCATTATTCAGTAACGATTCTCTTGACCCATGTTTCAGGCATCCCCCCTGATGAGAGCCCCCGCCGGGGAGGTCCTGCCGGGCCCTACCAGCAGTCTCAGCGGCTGGAGCTGTATGCTCAGGCCACGGAAACACTGCTGAAGGCTGGAGCTGCTTACCCCTGTTTCTGCTCCCCACAGAGGCTGGAGCTCCTGAAGAAGGAGGCCCTGCGGAACCACCAGACGCCCCGGTGAGAGCCCCCACCTGTCACAGATGCCTCCCCAAAGTTGAGTGTGTTCATTATCTGTTGCTGTGTAATGTGTTACCCCAAAACTTGTATTATCTCCCAGTTTATTAATCAGACATCTGGGCACGGCTTAGCCAGGCCCTCTGGCTCAGGGTTTCTCTCAAAGCTGCAGTCAAGGTCTTGGCCAGGCCTGCAGTTATCTCAAGGCTCCACTCCAGAAGGGTCTGCTTCCACGTCCTCTCTCAAGGCTATGGGCAGACCTCAGGTTCTTGCCGGCTGTTGCCTGGAAACATCAGTTCCTTGCTGCATGGGCCTCTCCGTAGGGCAGCTCACAGCATGGCAGCTGGCTTTCCTCGGAGTCAGCCAGGGAGCTGGAATCCACCCAGTCATGGAAGCGACATCTCACCATTTTCGTTTCATAGGCTGAGTATCTCTTACCCGAAAGACTTGGGACCCGGAGTGTTTTGATTTCAAATTTTTTAGAATTTTGGAATATCTGCATATACATAATGAGATATCTTAGGGATGGGATTCAAGTCTAAACATGAAACTCATTTATGTTTCATATACCCCTTATATACATAGCCTGAAGGTAATTTTATACAATATTTTTAATAATTTTGTGCACGAAACAGAGTTTTGACTACAGCCCATCACATGAGGTCAGGTGTGGAATTTTCCATTTGTGGCATTATGGTGCTCAAAAAATTTTGGATTTGGAGCATTTTGGGTTAGGGATGCTCAACCTGCGTTCTGTTCATCAGGCCACATTCAAGGGGAGGGATTGCACAAGGACAGAGACACCAGGAGGCAGGGATCACTGAGGGCCGTGTCAGAGGCCTCGTTGGATCTCAGACAGTAACATGTAAAGTAATTTTAATTACTTTTTAGTTTCAATAAGTACAATTTTCTTATGTTCTATATTTAGAAGGTCCAGAAAGAGCCAGGCATGGTGGCATGTACCTGTAGTCCCAGCTATGCACCAGGCTGAGGTGGGAGGGTCACTTGAGGCCACGAATTTGAGGCTGTGGTGTGGCTATGATCACACCTGTGAATAGCCACTGCACTCCAGCCTGGGCAACGTAACAAAACCCTGTCTCTTATGAAAAAATAAATAAGTAAAAAGGCCCAGAAAAATACGTGTTGAAAGATCTTTCTCCCAACCTTGACTCTGGCCACTCAATTCTGCTCTCTAGAGACAAGTGGTATTAGAATTTTCTTCTGTCTCCTCCAGAGGTAGTCAGCGCATATGCTGATAAGCGTGTATTGTTTCCTCTTTTTCCCCATTCAAATAGTAGCACGTAGTGTACTATGCACATAATATATTGTGCAACTTGCCATTCCCATTTATTGTCTTTAGGTTCAGTTCCTTATCGTTCCATAATTTTTTCATTATGCTTACATAACATTCCATTGTATGTGTATACCGCCATTTACTTAATTCCCTGTTAATGAACGTTTAAGTCATTTGTAATCTCTTGTTATAACAAAAGAGAGATGTGATAAATAACGTTGACAACATCATTTTGCACATGTGCAGTGTGTTTGTTAGATACTTTCATAGAGGTGGAATTGCAGGGTCAGTTTGTAGCCTTTCTGTGTACTAGTTATACTCCCATCAGCAATAGCATCATAACATTTGCATCCCAGTTCCAATGAACTGTTTGTACAGGGGTTCAGATGTTTGTACAAGGTCATGGCATTCAGTGCACCATTGCTTTTTTATTGTAAACAATCTATGATACTTGTCCGCTGACAGAAGATTATTTTTTAAAATTATAATCAAGCCCTATTGTGGAATCCATGCAGCCATTTGTTGATTGAACACTTAGCTGTGTCAAGGACTAAGCTTACAAGCTTTACATCTGTGTCTCAGTTGGGACACTTTTGGGTGTGGGTAACGTAATACTCTGTTAAAAGTGACAAACCATACGTTAACATGCAGACGCATCACCTGGGGATGTAGTTAACATGCAGGTTCTCATTCAGTAGGTCCGTGGGACCTGAGAGTCTGCATTTATGACAAACTCCCAGGTGCGGCTAATGCTGGGTGTCCACAGACCACACTCTGAGTAGCCAGGGCATCAGCCACACAGACATTTATCTCATTCTCCTGAAGTGTGGGGGTGGGTGATTACAGGATAAGACCAGCAGCTTGGAGATACCCAGCCACTACTTTGGCCTCTTTCTGACTTCCTTGTCTTCTGTCCCTCAGTTGCAAGTAGCTATAGCAACTCCAAGTATGCTCCCCCTCACAGGACAACATCCAAAGGGGACAGAAGGGGGAAGTGGGAAATTTTTAAAAAGGCATTTTTCTCTTGTGGCTTTCTTGCCCTCATTTGGGGAGAAAAACCTTTCCCAGAACCGTAACCCTTCCTTACCCCCCAAGCATACTTTTTTTTCAGTCTCAGTGACTAGGGTGGGGTTACATTCCTACCTGGAATGATCACTGGCATAGGGCAGTGGGATTGCCAGCTTGGCTATACCAACTATGATTCAACCCTTTGGAGTAAGCATTTTGCCATTTTCTCATTAGCAAGGAAAAAAGACAAATGGCTCGTAGGTAGTCAGACATTAGCATCTGCCACACTGTGTTCTCTCACTTAGTTTTCGCACACAGCAACCATGTTGTTATGCCTATTCTGGACTGAGGAAGCAGCTTGAAGAGGTGAATGGTGTGCCCAAGGTCACACGGCTATCAGAGACAAAGGTAGGACTCACGTCCATCAATGGTATTCATGCTGCTCTGCTTCGCAATAGGTATGACAATCGGTGTCGGAACCTGAGCCAGGAGCAGGTGGCCCAGAAGCTGGCCAAGGACCCCAAGCCTGCTATCCGCTTCCGCCTAGAGGAGGCAGCCCCAGCCTTCCAGGACCTGGTGTATGGCTGGACTCGGCATGAAGTGGCCAGTGTGGAGGGAGACCCAGTCATCCTGAAGAGTGATGGCTTCCCCACGTACCACCTGGCCTGTGTGGTGGACGATCATCACATGGGCATCAGTCATGTGCTACGGGGCTCTGAGTGGCTCGTCTCCACCTCCAAGCACCTGCTCCTCTACCGAGCCCTCGGGTGGCAGCCACCTCACTTTGCCCACCTGCCCCTGCTCCTCAACAGGGATGGCAGCAAGCTATCCAAGCGGCAAGGAGACATTTTCCTGGAGCACTTTGCTGCTGTTGGCTTCCTGCCCGATGCCCTACTTGACATCATCACCAACTGTGGCTCGGGGTTTGCAGGTACCTGCCCAGCTGAGCAGTACCAGTGGCAGAGAGCACAGCCATGAGTGAGCAGGGGCTTTGGTTTAGGGAGACCTAATCTTCAGTCCCAGCTTTGCCACCTACCATCCATGTGATCTTAGATAGGTTCATTCTTTTATTCAACAAATGTTTATTGAGCCAGACACCAAGCTCAGTGCTGAGATGAACAAGATAGACATAATCCCTTCCCTCAAGGAGCTTATGGTCTCTGAGCTCCAGTTGCCTCATCTATACAATGGGTGTAAGTGTCTACCTCATAAGGGTAGGATTCACTGAGCTCATGAGTATAAGGCACCCAGCACAGCGCCTGCCACACAGTAAGCACAAAATTTACAGATTCTATGAAAATTATAATTATATGATTACTGCTATTACAAGTACGTACTCTAAGAGTTTTATTAGTATTACTGTGAATCTAGTTTATTTCAAGCTGAGCCCTTACCCTTAGCCAAAGACATAGAGCCCAGACCTTTGAAGAAGCAAGTGGTGAATAGGATGACCTCTTTGTGGCAGGGATAGTCTTCTTACTGTTTATTCTGCTCTCATTTCATTTAACTCTTACAATATCCTTGAGGGGTAGAGATTTGTTATCCCCACTGTTCATAAGAGGACTGTGGGCCTCAGGTTGAGTCACTTACCAAAGTCACACAGTTAGTAAGGGATAGAGCACGTTAGGCCTGTGCCTGACCTGACTGCGTGGGATGGAGCTGCTGCTTGTAAAATGTACTGATGCTCAGACCCCGCCCAAAACCAACTGAATCAGAATCTCTTGGGTACAGCCAGGAAATGGGCACACTGTTCTTGTAGCTCACGTGTTTGAGGGTGATGAAGATTGGTTTCGTTCAGTTGTTTTCAGGCTTTTTTTTCTCTGAGTGACAGCTCTTTCCGAAAATGAAAGTCTATTTGGCCCTTGATATATAAATAGCTAGAAGTTGAATCCCTTTGGTCAAAGTGGAATGAGGAGCCCACTCGGCCTCCCATGTGTTTGAAAGTGAAAGGAGGAAGGGCGGGAGGAAGCTAAGTGGCTGGGCCTGCCTCACTTGCAGAGAACCAGATGGGCAGAACCCTGCCTGACCTGATAACACAGTTTGACCTGACACGGGTCACCTGCCACTCAGCTCTGCTGGACCTGGCGAAGCTCCCAGAATTCAACAGGTGAGTGGGGAGCATGGAGATTCCCTGGTGGGAAAGGGCTTTCTTGCTTGTGACGGTACCCACGGCAGAGGGTATAGTGGGCTAGATATCTAATGCTGTGTGACCGCAGTTAAGTTACCTGACCTCTTCATGCCTGTGTTTCCTCTTCTCTAAAATGGGACTAATAGCAGTACCCATCTTAATGCGATTGTTGTAAGAATAAGTGTTGGAGGAAAGTATCTTGCATAGCCCAGGTGCATAGAAAGTGCCTAATAAATGATGGGTATTGTTTTACCATTAGCATTATGTTCCTGGCCACCCCCATATGTGGATGGTTCTGTTAATGTCCAAAGCCTGGAGAGAGGCCTCTTCATTTTAGAATCACCCCCCACCTAGCCAACACAGTGAATGAGCCCTGTCTCATGGCACCTAGTTTATGTTTCACGTATTTGATATTTCAAGTAGTTCTGCACTCTGAAACCTCCAAATATAGTTACAATTCAGATCATTGTTGACATGTCTGAGTCAAAGGGTGTCAGTTGTAAAGCCACTGGCCACATTTGCACCTGGGGGCAAGGCTGCAGCAAGCGTTCCTGTCTGTCTGAAGTGGGCAGGCTCCACCCTGCTCTAGCCAACTGAAGCCCTGGACAATGAGGGCCCTTTGCTGCCAGATCTTCTGATTGCCTACGAGAAGCCAGAACTCTCTATTGTTATGTCACTTCTTCTAGTTTGAAACATCGTCTACTATTTTAAAAGCACTGGAAACAAAGGGTGTCTATGGGTTGCTTGGCACTCAAAGGCTATCTGTTTGCGACCTTGGGCAGATCCTTTCTCTTTTATAAATGTAAACAGAATTCTACTTCTAGCTTGTGGGAGGGAGGGCTCACGTGATGTGATGTGTCATTCTTCAAACTCTACCCCGTCCCCTGGGGAGAGAACGTTTGGGTGGGCTGGGGGTGCCAACAGCAGGGCAGCCCGTTGACTTCCCCCACAGGCTGCACCTCCAGCGGCTGGTGAGCAGTGAGACCCAGAGGCGCCAGCTGGTGAGGAAGCTGCAGGCCCTCGTGCAGGAGGCACTTGGGAGCCAGCTGCAAGACAGGGAGATCCTCAACCCAGCCTATGTGGAGAGGGTCCTCCTGCTGAGACAGGTGTGGGGCTGGGGAGATGGATGGGGTGAGTGGGTGCCCCTCCTTTTTCCTCCTTTTTTCCAGTGTATTCAGAGCCTGTCCCCAGTGCATTCAGTGACTGCCTCCTTCCCTTCCCCAGGGCCACATTTGCCGCCTGCAGGATTTGGTCTCCCCAGCGTATTCCTACCTGTGGACTCGCCCTGTCGTGGATCAAACACAGCTGAGTGCCATCTCGGAGAAGGTGGATGTGATTGCCAAGCGCACACTGGGGTGAGCAGCCACAGGCCAAGCTCTAGGTTCCATGCCTTCCTTCCCTGGCTCCCTCCCATGGCCCCCCTTCCTCCAGGGCGTGTCTGTTGGGCCCATAGCACAACCCCATGGCTAGTGAAGAAATGGTCACTCATGGCTTTCTTTGGTAAGAAGGGCTTACCAGAGGACCCAGGCTCTCCCTGGACACAGGCAGTGTGTTCGGTGCTTGCACCAACCTGGGTTGCATCCTACCTCTGCCACTTACTCATCGAGTTCTGTCACTTTGCCCAGGTGGTGTCACTTTGGCCAAGTTACCGTACCTCTTTGAGCTTCCATTTCTTCATCTGTAAGATGGAGATGGTACAAGTTCTTCATGTAACAACTCTTCTAATTACAAAGACAGAAAACACACCCAAAGCTGGCTTAAGTAAGAGGGGAATGATTGTTTACATAAATGCAGAGTCTAGAAGGGCCGCCTTGAGGCACAGCTTGATGCAGGGGCCAGCACTACGTTACCAAGACCTGCTTCTCTCTCTGTGCCTTTGACTTTCTGCTCCCGACTCCTCCATGCTGGCCATTCTTTCCACAGAGACTCTGTATTAGGTAGACTAGCAGTCCGCAGCGTTTTTGGTACCAGGGACTGGTTTCTTAGAAGACAGGTTTTCCAGGACTGGGGTGGGGAGGGAGGCGGAGCTCAGGCAGTGATGCAAGGGATGGGGAGTGGCTACAAACACGGATGAAGCTTTCGCTTGCTCACTTCCTGCTGTGCACCTTCCTAAGTTTCATGGAAGATAATTTTTCCATGGAGCGGAGGAGGATGAGGGGAGGAGTGGAGGGTGCAGTAGAGCTCTGTGGCTGGTCCCTAACAGGCTACGGACAAGGGTTGGGGACCAGAGAGGTAGACGAAAGAAATCATGGTGCCTGTTCTGTGTGAAAGTACAGTTCTATCTGATACAGCAATCTGCAGGAGGCAGTCAAGGGCTGGCCGGCTTTTCTGCAGGTCTCAAGGGTCCTGCATCCCTAGGTTTTGCTCTTGTTTGCATGGTCCACGGTGGCTCATGGACTGTCAACAGTTCAGTGAGAGGAGCAAGAAGGTGAAGGAGTAGGGGATAGGACACTCTTTCCCCTTAAGAACCTTTCTTAAAAGTTGCGTATATCATTTTTGCCTGTATCTGCTGGCTAGAACATGTCTTTTGGCCACATCAAGCTGCAAATGAGGCTGGAAAACGTAGTTTTTTAACTTGGCAGCCATGTGCCCAACTAAAAATGTTATTACTGCCTAAGAAAGGGATACTGGGGGATCATTAGCAGCCTGTCCCACTGGTGGTAAGATAGCATCGGCCACTCTGTACGTCAAACCTCAGCTTCAGACTCCAGTGGTGTTTTGGGATCACCTCTTCCCCAGTGGCTTGGGATTAACTCTGATCGGGCCTGAATGGCCTGGTTTTCCTGTCCCTAAACCAGTTACCAAGGCCTGGGGAACATGATGCGCTGACTTACTTGGGCCTGGGTCGTGTTCTGGACCCTGAGTGGACCCCTAAGCAAAGCACAAGGGCTGAGAATGGCAGTTGGGTAATTCCCTGGGGAGATTCAGGGCACTGGTATCAGGAGGAAGGGGCTTGGATGCTGGGCAACAAAAACCACAGATACTCATTTTACCCACCCCCACTTTGCTGTGAAGATCAAATTAAAAAATAATAGCAAGCAATTATGTGTGTTTGTTTCCAATGTGTTATTTTATATATTATATACATTTTATATATACATACACACACGTGTGTATATGTACTTAAATTCGTAGCAACCTAATTAAGTACTGTTGTTATCCCTATTTTATAGATGAGAAAACTGAGGTACAGAGAGGTTAAGTAACTTGTCCAAAATAACACAGCTAGTAAGTTGGAAGAGTAGGGATTCAAACCCAGGCAGGCTGGGTCTAGACAATTGTCTAACCATATTCTCTATTGCTTTTCTTATGTGTAAAGTGTTTGGACAGTGCCCCTAGGAAGCTTCAATATCTTATTATGTATTTTCAAGAGATGAGAATATATCTCGTACGTATTATGTATGCAAAAAATCCAAATGGTATAGAGAATTTATGGCAAAATATATCTTCCCTCCTATTTCAGCCCCAACAGAAAGGCAGCCGCATTTAACAGTTTCCTTTGTGAAATATCTGCATATTCAAGGATATGTTCATATAACTCTATTCTTACAATTTAAAAGTTTTTAAATTAAGATTTTTATTATTATAATACATTCAAATCTTTCAAAGTTTGGTTTAAAACCTAGAAATTATTTTAAAAGGATATACATGGAAAGTCCTCTTTTTAATTCTTGTCTACCATCTGTCTAGTTCTAGAACCCTCTGCAGGCTACCACTACTTTTAATTATATCTACATAATCCTTCTTGTTTTCTCCCTTTTTTGCCCAAAAGGTAGAGTACAATAACACTGTTCTGTGTCTTTTGGGTATTTTTTTCCACCTAACAATATGTCTTTAGATTTTTCCAGTACTTGGGGGAGCATCCCCATTCTTTTCTATAGCTAAACTTATTCCATTATATGGCTTTACTATAATTTATTTAACTCATCTCCTATTGGTAGACATTTGAGTTGCTTTCAAATTTAGCTGTTATAAACAATGTTGTAGTGAATAACCTTGTATAGACATCAGTAAGCAGTTTGCAAGTATATCTCTAGGATAAATTTCCAAGAGCTATTATTGTATTATTGTTAACAGTAATACTCTCTTAATTTAGGGTATTACACAGTAGGGACTATTACTTTTTATTCTCTAGGATTCAGTGTCTTAACTCCCCACCCTGCTGTGGGATTGGATTTCAGAGACATTCTGGGATTCCCACTTAAGTCAGGAAAGCTGATACCCAAACATTCAGAAGCTGCCAGATCACTAGAAGTCCTTTTTGTGCCCATGCCAAGCTCTGGGCCAGCTCTAATGTGTCCTGAACTGCCATTGTTGACTGCCTGGGGCCTGCCATTCTTTCATTAACTCCTTGGCAGTCTGCATCCCCGCAGTGACATTAGGGAGAATGTCTGTTTTTTCCCACATTACATTTTATGTTTCCAGTATTTCATCTCCTTGATGTTATAAAGAGCTATAATCATGTGGCCTTTCCCTCTTTCAGCTTTTCTCTGTGTCCTCACATGGTGGAAGGGAAAAGGGATCTCTCTGGGGTCTCTTTTATAAAGGCACTCATCCATTCATCCGAAGGCCCCACCTCCTAATACCACCACCTTGGGGGTTAGAATTTCAACATGTGAATTTGGGGAGGGACACAAACATTCAGATCATAGCAATGATGCAATAAGAGCAATTACTTTTGTCTTAAATTGAAGCTCACTTGCTCAAGTACTGGCAGTTAGTAAGGAAATCTGTCTGCACTAAAAGGCTGTTCAAGTTACTTATGAACCCAGTTCCCTGAGCCAGTGGCGCTCCACACACAGTTGACTTTGGAATGCAGTTGTCTGGGTCCCGTGTGAGCAGGCAGTGCCTGAATTGGCATCGTGGAGCATTCATACAGGTGAAGATCTCCAGCCCACATCCTTCTTCAGTGTCTCCAATTTGGAATCCCAGTAAAAACTGAGGAGAACTGGGACGTTGCTGTACAATATACTCATCCCCACCCTATTCCCATCGCTTGCTTTAAATTCAGACTCGGGGCTGGGGCACATTTTTGCAAGCCCAGCCCTAACTGAATGGGGAATTTCTCTTGAAACTGAAGCCTTTTGGGAGAGGATCTCTCTTAGTTGGACTTCCAGGAAAGTGGAGGATGGTTGTTGGCCCGTTGGGTTTTAGATCTGTAAGCGCTTCAGTTTGTGAGAAAAGAATGGTTGTGGCAAGTGGGTGACAGGGCTGTTCCTGGATCTGGGGTCTCCTGGTTTTCTACTGTTCTACATCCCCGAAGAAGTCTCCCCGCACCAGTCTGGAAGCTGTGTTTCAGATAATTTCCCAGAAATAATCCATCCTTCCATGTCTAACCCTTTCCTAAGCTGCATTTTAGATCTTGTAATGTCTCTGAACTCTTTGATATAACAAATATTAGCTAATTTTTTTAAAAACTTTTTATTCAAATATAAAATTTAATACTTTTCAGTATTGGCTGTGTTCAGGCACTATACTTAGTGCTTTACATGTTCTAACTTTCCATCATAACCCTCTGCAGGACAGATACTATTATTATCCCCACTGTACAGGTAAGAAAGCTGAGGCATAGAGATGACATGACACAGAAGTAGCGATTAGTGAATTCTCTTATTATCATACACTCTTAGTTCCCTATATTGTGCCCACTTGCTTAGATTATCATTTGTGGTTTTCTCTTCCCCAACTTGGATAAGGGAGGAGGGGGTGGTGATATCTCTCTTCCTCCCCCAAAACACATTTGAACATTGGTTGTGCTGCTTGTATTGTAGCCAATTAGTAATATTCTAAAGTTCTCCCTCTCACCTGCTTGCCTTTGGTCCATGGAAGAGCCTTATAGACTGACCCTCTTCTAGGCTTTTAGAAAGATCTGGTACGAGCTTAACTCAGGAAATGCTGAGTGGAGAACTGAAGAAGCTGTCAGAAGGCCTGGAAGGCACCAAGCACAGTAATGTGATGAAGCTCCTCCGAGTGGCCCTCAGTGGACAACTGGTAGGTGGGGAGATGGGCTGTACCATTACCTGGAGCCCCTCATTTATCCTTTTAGCTAACATTTACCGGCAGTCATTGAGCTAAGTTTTGGGGATACAAAGATGAATGAGACATGATCACTCCCCTCATTCAGTCAATCAGCAGGCACTATTTATTATCGAGTATCTACTATGTGCATCACCATGCTAGGTTCAGTAGATACAGCAGAGAATGAAACACGTGTGATCCCTGCCTCTGTGGAGTTTACAATTTCCTGGGGATAACAGACCTATCAACAGCTTACTTAATATGGGAAAAACAGGCTCCTGGGACCCATCCTCATCGAGGGGAGTTAAAGACCAGTGACAGGCAAGCTCTGCTCCTTGGAACGTAGGCAGCAGTGTTGGGCTAGGCCTGGGGATAACTTCCACAGGCAGGCTGAGCATCAGTTCCTTACACAGTGTAAGGCAATGTGGCAATATTTCCTCTTTTTGTTCTTAGCAGGGACCTCCTGTCGCTGAGATGATGGTGTCCTTGGGACCAAAGGAAGTGCGGGAACGAATCCAGAAGGTGCTTTCCAGCTAGGGAGAGGATGTGCGGCATGGTGGTCGTGGCCCTAGGAACCTCTACCCTTGGAAACTGCCTTCAGAGGAGAGGAGAAGGCTGGAGGCCCATCAGGAAGCTCACAGAAGGAACTAAAAGTGGAAACAGAATCGCACTGCACACAGTGCATTTATGGCTCCATGGCAGGCCCGTCCTCGACAATTGGCTGGGGAAGCCCACCCAACCCATCTCACCTCCTTGACTCTGGAAGGAAGGGCTTGTGTCTGGTTTTCAACACCACTTTACACAGCAGAGGTTAGGAGTTAGTTCACAGAAAAGTCAACATCCCAGAGCAGTCCAGAGAGCTTGGGTATTAGTTTGCTAGGGCTGCCATAACAAAATCCCATAGAGCTAGATGGCTTAAAAACCAGAGATTTTCTCACAGTTCTAGAGGCTAGAAGTCTTAAGATCAGGGTGTCAGCAGGTTTGGTTTCTCCCGAGGCCTCTCATCTTGGCTTGCAAACAGCTGCCCTCTTGCTATGTCCTCAAGTGGTCTTTCCTCCATACACGCACATCCCTTTTCTTCCTCTGGGTCCAGAGTTCCCAGGACACCAGTCAGATTAGAGTATGGCCCACCCTACCAGCTTCATTTTATCATAATCACTTCTTTAAAGGCGCTATCTCTAAATACAGCCACTTTCTGAGGTCGTGGGGGTTATTTCAACATAAAAATTTGGGGCGGGGTGGGGACACAGTGCAGCCCGTAACAGCTCAGCAGCAGTCTGGAGTCGTGGATCTCAGCTCTAAGGCCCAGTTTGGATTCAGAGCAGTGAAGGACAGTTGACGCAGCAGGGCTGAACTGCACAGCAGACTTGCTCTGGGTGCTGTAAAGGGAGAAGTTATGTATCTGCTGAGGGTAAGCGCTCAGGTTTTATACTAGTCTTTGTCCTTGGTCCTTGGGGCAGCCTGTGTTTCCTTGCCCTAAAGGGCATCTCTTCCTGTTTTCCAGTTCTCCAGACCTGGTCCTTGGACTGGAGACCTTCACCCTGCCTATTTTGTGGCTTTTTCTTCACATCCACTTCTTCCTTCCATCATTACTTGTAAGTTGTCATCTGTGGATTTCTGAAATGAGGTGTTCTTCTTGGGGTCTTTAGTGAATTGAAATAGCTAAAGTGAAAGAAGGATGGTGGTAAGGGACAAAAACCCCTATAACACTTCTCAGCTTCCCCTGTGTGGCAACCAGCCTCTAAGATGGCCCTCAATGATCTCTGCCTCCTGATACTCACCCCCTTGTGTGATTGCTTCCCACATTGACTATGGCTAACTTGTGTAACCTGTAGGCTATCGAGAAAATGATAAGAATTTGACTTGTGGCCAGGTGCGGTGGCTCACGCCTGTAATCCTAGCACTCTGGGAGGCCGAGGTGGGCGGATTGTTTGAGCTCTGGAGTTTGAAACCAGCCTGAGCAAGAGCGAGACCCCGTCTCTACTAAAAATAGAAAGAAATTAATCGGACAACTAAAAATATATAGAAAAAATTAGCCGGGCATGGTGGCACATGCCTGTAGTCTCAGCTACTTGGGAGGCTGAGGCAGAAGGATCGCTTTAGCCCAGGAGTTTGAGATTGCTGTGAGCTAGGCCGACGCCACGGCACTCTAGCTCGGGCAGCAGAGTGAGACCCTGTCTCAAGGGAAAAAAAAAAGTATAATCAAAATTATAGAAACAGAAAGTAGAATGGTGGTTGCTAGGAGCTGGGGAGAGGGGGAGACCGGAAGTTACTGTTTAATGGGTACCGAGTTTCAGTTTTACAAGATGAAAACTTACGGAGGTAGGTGGTGGTGATGGTTGCGCAACATTATAAATATATTTAATACCATTGTACTGTACACTTAAAAATGGTTGAGATGGTAAATTTTATGTTTTTATCTATTTTACCACAGTTTTTTTTAAATGCTGAGTTGATAAAACCGCTGCCACTTCCTCAATTGGAGTGAGCTGTCTAGAAAGCAGCATGTGTCTTCTGATTGGGAGTTTTGCTCAGGACCAATAGGAGTGTTTGAAGGGACCCCACACATTTTAAATAACCTCAAGCCCATCCTCCAGTGGTATTGAGAGTATAGTGCTGTGATAAAAGGCATGGGGGCTGACTGTCAAAAACCAATTCTGGCTGGCTATGGTGGCTCACGCCTGTAATCCTAGCACTCTGGGAGGCCAAGGCGGGAGGATCACTTGAGCTCAGGAGTTTGAGACCAGCCTGAGCAAGAATGAGACCCCGTCTCTACTAAAAATAGAAAAAATTAGCTGGGCGTGCTGGCACGCACCTGTAGTCCCAGCTACTTGGAAGGCTGAGGCAGGAGGATTGCTTGAGCCCAGGAGTTTGAGGTTGCAGTGAGCTATGATCACACCACTACATTCTGCCTGGTGTGACAGAGTGAGACTTTGTCTAAAAACAAACAAACAAAAACCACTTCTGCTACTTACTGTGTGACTTTTCTGTATGTCAGTTTCCTTGCTTATAAACTAGGGATAGGAATTTTACCTGTCTCAAAGAGTTGTAAGGGTTGGAATAGGTAACATATGTAAAGTGCCTGGCACTTAATAAATGTTAACTATTATCATCATCATCATGATCGTCACCATTATTTTCATTCTTAGAAATGATCTCAGTCGCAAGGCATAGAAACACTCAGACTAACTGAAACCATGAAAGGAATTTACTGGAAGAATTTAAACTCTAACAGATCCAAAGGGCAGGACTTCCAACTGGACCTCACAAAAGACTGGAATCTGTACCTGGAAACCCACAGAGGACCCAAGACAGCAACTTTTTGTCCCTCTGAGACCACACAGTTTCTAACATTTGCCTCTCTATATATGTCTGCTCCCCTTGTCTCCTCTCTGCAGCCTGGCTTTCTCTTTATCTCTGCAGTTGCCCCAACAACTGCCCCAACCCTAAAGCTACAATCATCTCCCTTCTCCTACACCACCAGTTAAATAACCAGTATACCACATACAAACTCCCAGGAGAGAATCTGGTTGGCCTAGCTTAGGCCAATCAACTGTGGTGGGTGGGACAGTGTTGTAATATGATCATGGCTTCAGGGGACTCACTATAGTAGGTAGAAGAGTATTTCCTTCCACTGAGCATGTTCTCTTTCAATGTCATTTAGAGAATATCCTCTCCAGCAAATTACCTTTTTATAGCCAAATTTGGAATCTCATCTAAATTGCCTTTATCCTGCTTTATTTTTCTTCATAGTACTTTTTGTGATATGAAATTATATAATGTATTTGTACATATTTACTGTCTATCTTACTCAAAAGAAGATAAGATAAGGCAGGCAGGAAGTCTTTTTCTTTTTTTATTTAAGAGGCACGGTCTCTCTCTGTTGCCTTGGCTAGGGTACAGTGGCATGATCATAGCTCACTGCAGCCTTGAATTCCTGGGCTCAAGTGATCCTCCTGCCTCAGCCTCCTAAGTAGCCAGGATTACAGGCATGAGCCACCACTCCTGGCTCAAATCTGTCTTATTCTTGGTTATAACTCTAGCAGTTGGCACACTGCCTGATACATAGTAGGGAATCAGTAAAGATCTCACAATGCAAAAATGTTTGAGGGCTTCATCAGACCGGTTTCTTTCAAGTGGGGATCATCAGCTGGTCTAACTGCCAGATTCTAAGTTTCCCATATCACCTACTCAGGGAAATCTTACCTCTTTTGCAAAATCTGCAGTTGTAAGTAGCAATCTGGTCTGTTGCCTATAATTTGCATTGAATCCAACTGTCTGGGGAGAGACTACCTTTGACAAAGCTTTGAAGCAAAGGGTGGGGACAGATGGGAAGGGGCCCTATGGAGGGATGTATGTTTACTGGGGACTAAAGTTAGAAGTTTGTCTACTTGTTAGTTAATATTGTCTTATGACAAATTCCCTACCTTCCCAGGCACCAGGATAATAAATACTTAGAAAATGAAGACCTTCTGAGCGATAGAAGGATTCAGAGGGTGAAGAAGCTTTTGATTCTGTTCTGGCCTGTCAGTGGGTTTACAGACTAAGTGACCTTTGAACTGGGTTCTGAGGGGTGAGTCGGTGTTTCCCAAGTAGAAGGGGGTTGAAGGGCTATTCCAAGCAGAGGGATGAAAAAGAGAGTTTCACAGAATTGAGCATAACTGGAGCCAACAGCAGGAGTTGGGGGAGAGGTAGAAGTGGCTTCTGAGAAACCAGGGAGAGGCGAGATCCAAGCAGGCTTTCTTTGCCAGGTAAAAGGTATCAGGGTGCCGTCTGATGCAAATAACAAAATGCAGGTTCAAACCAGCTTAAACAAGAAGATTTATTATCCCACATAACAGGAAGTTCAGGGGTAAGGCAGGCTCCAGGGTTGGTTAATTATGCGTTTGGTCCCAGGTCTTGCCATCTCTCTGCTCTACTGGCCTCAGCACCTGCAAACGCCTTCGCTTTTGGTTGGTTCAGCTCACAATTTGCTGCCTGAAGCAATCAGGCCTCTCTTCACTTCTAGGTGGCTTTCTGCAGTTCTCTCCTAAAAGCAAGGGAACTTTAAGTACCCTCCCCCCACCCGACTTCCCTATTTTTGAGCCCTTCACTGCTGGGGACGTGAGGTTCCCCATAGATAGTCAGAACCAGAGCCGGGGCGGCGGGTGTGGGGGGAGTCTGCATTTCCCTGAGGTGCATGGCTGGGTCAGGGAGTGGTGGGTACCTGAACAAAGTTGGGGGTGCAGTTAGCGAAGACAAGGAGTTGGGTCTTCATGAGGCAGAAGGTGCGGAGCCACTGAAAGGTTTTAGGCAGGGAAGTGACATGATCAGATTTGTGTTTCTTTGAAAGGTCATTCTGGCAGCTATGCTGAAGAGAGATTTCAGCAGGACCAGACCAGAAGCAAGGAGCCCTGGTAGGTGATTGGACAATGAGGCATGGATACAGCCATGTTTTCTCAACCACAGCCTGTAAGGGCCTATACTGGGATTCTCAGAGAAACAGAACCAATAGGATATATATGTAGGAAGAGATTTATTATAAGGAGGTTCACACGACTGTAGAAGCTGAGAAATCCCATAGTCTGCCATCTGCAAACTGCAGACGCAAGAAAGTAGCTGACATAGTTCAAAGGCCTGAGAGCCGCAGAGCCAGTGGTGTAAATTCCAGTCTGAAGGCCTGAGAACCAGGAGTGCCAAGGGCAGAAGTTCAGCTTTCCTCTGCCTTTTGTTCTATTCCACCCTGCAATGGATTGGATGAGGCCCACCCACATTGAGGAGGACAATCTGCCTAATCCACCAATTCAAGTCTAAGAAACATCCTCAAACACACACCCAGAAATGATATTTAACCAACTCTCTGTGCATCCCATGGCCCAGTCAAGTTGACATGCAAAATTAACCATCATAGTGGCGGTGATGGCTGTACATTACGAATGTATTTAATAACACTGAAAGGTACACTTAAAAATGGGTTTAAGATGGTACATTTTATGTTAAGTGTATTTTACCTCAATGAAAAAACAATTGTGCTGGGCATGGTGGCTATTGCCTGTAATCCCAGCACTTTGGAAGGCCAAGGTGGGAGGATCACTTGAGGCCAGGAGTTTGAGACCAGCCTGGGCAACGTAGCGAGAACCCATCTCTACAGAAAATGTTTAAAAATGGGCCAGGGTTGGTTCACAACTGTAGTCCCAGCTACTCAGGAGGCTCAGGAGGATCACTTGAGCCCGGGAGTTGGATGTTACAGTGAGCTATGATTGTGCTGCTGAACTTAAGCGTGGGTGACAGAGCAAGACCCTATCTCTAAAAGAGAAAGAAAGAAAAAAGTTAAACATCACAGGGCCCGCAAGGCCTAAGGGATCTGACTCCTGCCTATTTTTGAGCCACATGTCCTCATCCTGCCATGCTCACCCCTCTTGTTCCTTGGTATCCAGCCACATCAGCCTTCCTTGAGTTCTAGTACACTCTTGTATGCCCTCTTCTCCCCCTTTGCCTAGTCACCTCTTCAGATCTCAGCTCCACTATCACCTCCTCAAGGAGGCTTCTGACTTCCGGAGGACCTCCTTCCTCTCATTAATCATCAGCACCCTATTCTTTTCCATAGCACACCATTGGAATGGGTCATGTAAATAATCATATGAGTAATTAGTTCTGCAGTTATTTCTTAGTGCCAGTTGTAAAGTCCGTGAGTATATGGACCTTGTCTGTCTTGTTCAACGTTGTGCCCCCCAGGGCTGAGAATGGTCCCTGTTCACATAGTAGGTGCTTGATAAATATTTGTTACACAAAAGACCAGACACACATCTGATCAGATTAGACTGTCAGGGTGTGCAGTCAAGGGCAAAGATGTGGGTTCTGCTGAAGTCACTATGTTTAGTTAGGATACTGTTTTGCAGTGTTCAGGAACTTCACATCATTTGTAGTTACTATTTTTATTAGTGAATCACATGATATGAATGTGAATATGAGCATTTTTTAAATTTAGAAGGCAGTACATGTTTGGCTTGGCACTCATGAAGCTTGTTATGATGGCCTGGGTTTCTCCAGTTTCTTCAGATCTGAGTAAAATGTTGGGGTCACAGCCTTTCCTTCCCAGCCAGGGTCTCCTCAGCTGTGCCCCCTACCACCCTTCTCCCAAGCCTGACAGTAGGACAGTCCCACCGAGGGGAGGAGGCCTTCTCTATCTGGAGAACCCCTCTGGGCTGAGTCCATCCAATGTTGTCTTCATTGATTTAGCCAACACCTACTGTGTGCCAGGCTCTGTTAGGCCTGGGGATCTGGAGACAAATAAGACAGGGCCTTAATTGTGCACAGATGTTTGTTCCCTGTATTTATTGATTGATTGCTAGATATTTGTTAATCTTTTAAAAATAAAAATACAACTGAACAAAAGATAAGCCCCCTGCCTCAAAGAAATCATAGTCTTAAGGGAAGTTAACTATTACAATTATACAGGTGTGGAGGAGGTCGTGGTATGGGGACAGGTGAGAGGATATAGGACATAGATGTCCTTGGGTTAGGGGATGCAAATTGGGTAACACTTTCTTGAGGAGTTGGGGTGTTGCTTTTTAATTTTAATTCAGATAAACAGCAAATAATTTTACAGTATAAGTGTTTCCCATGCAATTTTTGGGATGTACTTACACTAAAAAATTATTTACTTGAAATTCAGATTTACCTGGGATTTTGATATTTTTATTTGTTAAAATCTGGCAGCCCACCCCCTAGGTAGTTTGACAGACAATAGAGGGAGAACATTCCAGGCTGAGGGAACAGAACATGGAAAGGTGAGAGTGGAGAAAGAAGTAACTGAGTACAGTTAGCTTCCACTGTTGCTTTGAGCTAGGGGGGAAGTGCTAGAGGTGTCCAGTTCCACCAATAATTATTTAGTGCCTAATGAGTGCCAAAAGTTTGATGAATTAGACGTGGTCCTGCCTGCAAAAGCTCATCGTCCAGAAAGGGAGACAGATCAACACCACATAAGGAGATGGGAAGCTGAGGGGAGCAGGCAGAGCTGCACAGCACACAAGAGGGGGCCTGGGGTGGGGGGCTCCTGGAGGGTGACGCTTATGCTGAGTGAAACCTCCCCCTTGTCAGGCATAGTGCTAGGTGCTGGAGACAAATGCCGCGTGGCTGCTTTTCACGTCCCCAAAGGGCCTTCCTCTTCTCCATCACTGAGCCTTTGCATATGCTGTTGCCTCTGCCTGATCCCCTCTTCCTTCTGCCTTATTCATTACTGCTCATTCATCAGATCTCAGCTCAACCATAAGTTCTTCAGCAAACTTCTCCCTGACCTCCCCCAGATTGGGTCACAGCCCCTCCTACATTCCTAGAGGTTGAGGTCCTTCTCTCCCCGCTGAACTGTGAGCACCAAGGGAAGGGGCCGTATCCACATTTTCATTGCTCTATTTCCCCTGGATTGTGCCCAGCACCAAATACATTAAGTATGAACTTAATGAATCTTTGTTAAGTGAATGAAGTTTGAGGTTAGGCAAGAAGGTTGCAAAGTGAGGTGTCTGCAGCAGCCATACACGTAACACAAATGAAAAGGACAGGAGGCTGGGCGGGGTGGCTCATGCCTGTAATCCTAGCACTTTGGGAATCCTAGACGGGAGGATCGCTTGAGGCCAGGAAGAGACCAGCCTGACCAAGAGCAAGACGGTCTCTCCTAAAAATAGAAAAATTAGCTGTCCCAGCTACTCAGGAGGCTGAGGCAGGAGGATCGCTTGAGCCCAGGAGTTTGAAGTTGCAGTGAGCTATGATGATGCCACTGCACTCTAGCTGGGGCGACAGAGCAAGAGACCCTATATCAAAATAAAATAAATGGTCAGAGAGACTTTGCTCTGAGGCTGCTTTTGAGGCCTCACAATCTCCTTTAGTTCAAAGTATTCAGCATGCCAAAACGCCATACTTTGAGAGATTGTTTTTGGAGCCCCAACAATGTCAAGATGTTAAACAACTACAGGTGCTTAAAGTAAGTAAAGTAAACCAGGTGTTATGTTTTAGTCTGAAACTGTCGGTTCTTGGTGCGCTCATGGCTGAAGAATGACCAGACACACCAAAGTTAGACAAGCACGAAAATGCGGTTTATTGAGGAGAGAAAGATAGGATTACAGGACAAGAGCAAGATATAGGTTTACAGAGCATGGTACATATGCCACAGATGATGACCAGACCCATTGTTGCAGCAGAGCAAGCAAAAGGAAGGGCAAAGAGACAGATTGGCTATAGTCTGCATCTTATTTTATAATGCCTGGATAGGGCCCTCCCTCGTGATTCAGAGGTCACCATCGAACCACTTTGATTGGACAGTTGGGAGTCACATGACCTGAGTCTTAACTATGCATGTGCGTTCTAGGTCACTTTCTGGACTTTATGGTACCCGTGCTGCTTGGCCTGTGGGCTAGAGAGTCCTCTGCATTCTTTTGCAGCTGGAGTGCCATGTTCTGATTAGCAGATTTGTAGGGTAGTCCCTCCTCCCCCAGGTATGGAGAATTAGTGTTGGGCAAGACCACGATGGGGGCAACAGCACCCACTTTCATCCCTAGGAGACCCGGAATCCCTCACTGTCTACGTAACACACAGGCATAGCGAATATTTACTTGACGGATGGTCCTTGGCAAAATGGAGAGCTCAGGGCCCCTCAAGCAAGTGCAGCCTCTAGTCATTAAGAGATATTTGAATACTAGATCCACTGTTGCCAGATGTTTAGAATTTTCAAGAGATGATCATATCTTAAATATTTTATTGAACTTATTAATGAAGCAACTGGTAAGATATTAAAACCAATTCAAAGGAGAATCCAAAGAACAGGAACATTTATAGATCAGTAACATTGAAGTGTCAATGTGCAATGGAGGCAAAACTGGTTTTTCCACTGGAAGAAGTTTGTGTGTTTCCAAGCAGTATTCATTTGCATGTGTATAACAAGAATAATTTTCCATTGTTATCATTTACAGGGAAGAATCTCTGCTTCAGTAGAAAATAAGGCATTGTCCAGACAGCACACCGTTTCAGGTTCTAGCCTTTGGTCGTCTTTGAGAAGTCTTACAACTGTAAGTTATGTGTAGATAATGAATAGCAGTGCAAAATAATTTTGCCTACAGGCATGCAAATTAATTCTGTCTACTGGAGGGACAACTCTCACCACTGGTGGAAAAGCCAGTTTTGTGTCTATTTGCACATTAGTATCAACGTTCCTTTATTACATGTATTATAAATTCGCCCTTCTTTGGGGCTGATTATAACATTGGCTTGGTTACATCATCTAATTAAAGCGTTAAATAAAATAACACGTGTTCATTTCACAGTGTATGAAAATCATGACCTACTTTTTTGTTACCTTTATTTATTTACCCAAAATTTTCCTTTGACAATCAAGTTAGTATCTAATATGTCGACGGTGTACTGTGTGACTTAGAGAATAAAGCAAAATATGGAAGGACACAGGGCGTGTCCTTTTAGAGGTGTTTTGGGAAGACCCAAATAAAAATGGTGAAAAAATTATTCCTTGTGTATCCGAAATTTAAATTTAACTGGGAGTTCTGTATTTTATCTGGCAACCCTAATTTTGAAGGAAGAGCAGTCGCAGGCCTTGCCGGGGTCAGTTTGATTAGCGAGACCTTGCCAGTGGTCTGGGAGAAGAAAACCCGAGAGAGGGACCAAGTGGGGAGGAGGGATCTAGCTGAGCCAGCATCCTGCGCCCCCCGGAGGGTGGGCGGAGCAACCTTGGCCCCGCCCCATCACGTGCCCTGCCGCGTCCGCAGCACCAGAGCGCGCCTGGCGGCGGCGGCGGCAACGACTAAAGCGCAGGGGTGGCCGTGGCTACAGCAAGGGGCTGGGCCCATGGCGGCGACGGCGGTGGCGACGGGGACTGGGGCCACGGCGGGGACCGAGTCGGCCGAGCGGCCCCCGGGCCCGGCGGCGGCGCTGGAGTTGTGGCTCAGTGAGTAGCCTGGCCGCCCCTCGGCGAGGGCACGTGAGGACTCGCTTCCCGTCCCCCGGCGCCTTTCTTCTGGGGCGGGCGGCCGCGGGGGAGCCCGGCGTCGCGGAGCTGGGCCTGGGCCTGCGCTGGAGGCAGGATCGCCCGGGGCTGCCCCGAGATTAACCCCAAGAACCTGCCAGGGCTGCAGGCTCGGGCCTGCGCTCGGCCCTTCCCCAGCTGGCCACCCCCTCTCAGTAGCAGTGCGTGGTCCTCACTAGCAACCGAAATGGTACCGTGTGCCGGGCTCCTCTGTGCTGCCAAGCATGGGGCTAAAAGCATGTCCACCATTGTTAGTCCTCAGTACGACCCCAAGATAGCTTCTATCACTAACCCCGGTTGGGAGGCGGGGGCATTTAGGCTTACGGAGGCTCTGGCGGTTAAGATTGGCAGTCCGTTAGGGGCTGAGACAGATCTCTGCGCGGCTGTTGCCTTTAATGCCAAGGAGTAAGCCTTTATACCTTTTTTGTGTATTTACTCTGGCTGTATGTATGTTGCCCCCTGTGAGCTTCACGGTAGTCCTGGGGTGGGAGTCGTTATTGTCCCCGTTCGACCACGAGGAATTGAGGCTCAAAGAGGATGAAGAATATGCCCCTTGTGCCGTACTCTGCTAGGTGCTGGGGATATTACTAAGATGCGTAACACAGGGTCCTTGCTCACAAAGATTTTTTTTTTTTTTGTGGGCTCACACCGACGATAACATCACTTTATTAACGGGACTTAGCAGGGAGGGCGTTTCTTCAGTGTGGTGGTTAGGGGTTGGTTTGTTTACCTGGAGGTTGTCACAGCGGACCTAGTGTTTGAACAATGGAGGCGACCACATTCCAGGCCGAGGAAACTGCATGTGCAAAAGCTGGGGACATGAGAATGTGGGACATTCTGGGAACAAGTAGGTCGGTCCGCTGGAGTGCAGAGGCTAAGGAGCAGGAATCTGGAAAAGAGGCTGCACTGCTATTTGAGGCAAGATCTTCAAGGATCTTGTACACTGCAGAAAGGAGTTTGTTTTATCTGGGGGCGGGGAGGGGGAGCTGTTGTGGAGTATTCAGCGGGAGGATCTTGATCAGGGAACTGAATTGGGTAGAGAGGGTGAGACTTCAGGCAGGGAGAGTAGCTAAAAAGCTCTTTTGGTAGTGTTTAGGGGCTGCAGTAGGACTAAGGCGGTGGGGAGGGAGAGTAGAAATAATTAGCAGGCACAGTTAACAGCCTTGATGCATTGGGATGGAGGCAAAGACGAGGAATCTAGGATGAACCCCAGGTTTCAAGCTTGGGTAACTGGTTGGTTACAGATGCCTACCCTGCGAGGAGAATCTGGTTTAGGAAGAGAGGTTGAGTTGTGGAGTTTGAGGTGCTTGTAGCACATTCAGAAAGAGATGCACTCTGGGCAGTTGGTTGGCTCCAGAGAGGGTAAGAGCTGGAGGTATGGCTTGGGAATCTTCAGTTCATGGGCAGTGAACTCGCCCTGGGAGGCTGCATGTTAAAAAGAGCAGAGGTTTGGAGATGGAGCATGGGGAGCCCCAGCACTTAAGAGGCAGATGGGAAGAGCAGCCTGAAGACTGAAGGTGGAGCAGAAACAAAGGCAGGGGGGGAAGCGGAACCCAGGATATCAAAGGAGGGGTGGGGTTGGTAGGTAGTCTTGCTGCTTAAACATAGAGTATGGGAGTCTGGCACAATGGCTCACACCTGTAATCCCAGCACTCTGGGAGGCCAGGGTGGGAAAATCGCTTGAGCTCAGGAGTTTGAGACCAGCCTGAACATAGTGAGACCCTGTCTTTACCAAAAATAGAAAATATTAGCTGGGTGTGGTGGCTCATGCCTTCAGTCCCAGCTACTCGGGATGCTGAGGCAGGAGGATTGCTTGAGCCCAGGAGTTTGAGGTTGCAGTGAGCTATAATCATATCATTGCACTCTGCCTGGGGTGACAGGCCAAGACTCTGTCTCAAAAAAAAAAAAAAATAGTATGGGGCTGGGCAATGTGGTTCATACCAGTAATCCTAGCACTTTGGGAGGCCAAGGTGAGAGGATTGCTTGAGGCCAGGAGTTCAAGACCAGCCTGAGTAACAAGGCAAGAGTTCAGTTCATCTCTACAAGAAAATTAGCTGGGCATTATGGTGCATGCCTGTAGTCCTAGCTACTTGGGAGACTGAGGCAGGAGGATCACTTGAGCCTGGAAGTTAGAGATTGCAGTGAGCTATGATTGGGCCACTGCACTTCAACCTAGGCTACAAAGCAAGATCCTGTCTCAAAAAAATAAATAAAAAGGGGGAGAGTAGAATAAGAAAGGAGAAGGGGGAACTTTGAATTTGGTAACTAACAGGTTATTAATGACATACCTTTGAGTTAAATGGTGGAGACGGAAGGTAGTTTATTTAGGAGGCAATGGAGAACAGAAGGCTTAGGCTGGAGTTGCAGGATGGGGGAAGTAGACCAAGTAAGGTAACAAGGAGCAGCTGGCCTGGGTAGAGATGAGAGGGAGCGCCTGGGACACTGCCCAAGGAGGGGGAGTTCCTCAGCTCCAGCTTTTTGGGGGCGATGTCCCAAAGTTGCTAGATCTTCTAGCTTTTTAGGGAGGGCTAGAACCTATACTTCAGTGTGAAATCTCTTGTTTTCAAAAGTTAGCACCTACTTTGAAATGTAATTTGTCTGGGAAACACCAGGCAGAATAAATCAGTGAGGAGAGTGTAGCCAGTAGCCTCTTAGCTTTTTATTTTATTTTATTTTTTTAGTGGTGCTTGAATGTGAAAGGAAGGAGAGAGGGTAGCTAGAGGGAATTTAGGAGTAAAGGAGATTTTAAAGGAGGGCGGGCATTTGAGCTCATTGTGCTTTGTTGCTTTGGGGAAGTACACCTCAATTCTACGGCCAGTGTTCCATCCTTGCATGGGGCCTTAGAGGTGCTGAAGGTCAGAGGCAGAGCAGAAAGGGGTGACCTGGCCTCGCACAGAGGAAGGGCACCTTGTTTTTCTGAGTGTCTGGGGAGGGAGGTAAAGATGATTGCACGTGCACATGTTTTTCAGTGCTGTCATCACCACTGCCACCTGAGTGTGAGGGGCTGAGGTGGACTAGGGGACTTAAAGGTGGGGAAGTTTGAAAATGGCTGGTGAGAGAAATAGAATGGAGCCCACCTGGGCACTTGAGAGCTGGGTTTCTCAACCTGTGCACATTGACATTCTGGGCATATGGGGACATTTCTCTGTTGCGGGGGCTGTCCTGTGCAATATGTGATGTTTAGCAGCAATCTGGCCTCGACCACTAGATACCACTAGCATACACCCTTCTTCCCAGTCATGACATTCAAAAATGTCACTAGACATCACCAGATTTCCTCAGCGCGGTGGGATGGGATCACCTCTGCCCTTCTCCCCTCTGAGATTCTGAGTTAGGACTGTGGAGTGTTGACTGGACATCAGAAATGTATGTTGCAGTTCTCATGGGTATGTATTTTTCGGTGTTTTGTTTTTCTTCTGGAGTAGGAGCAAAGAAGGTAAACTATGGTGTAAACCAGATTTGTTGGGGGTGGGGTGGTGATGGTGCCATGGAGGGACAAAGGAGTTGATGGTATGTCTGGGGACAAATGTGTAGTTGAAGGTGAATGCATCATGGGTCTAGGCTGGATGAAGGAAATCACTCTAGATGTGGTCTGAGGACTAGCCATGCTTGGGTCTCTGACAGATCTTGTCTCAGCAAGTGAGGCAGCTGTATCTTTAAGATGGGAATAGTAATAATACCTCCACTTAGGGTTGCTGGGAGGATCTAAGTCTTTAATACATGTAAAGCACTTAAAATAGTGCCTTGCCATGGCATGTATAGTAAGCGCCCAGTAAGTATTAGCTATTATTATCGTTAGTCTTTTTTAGTTGCAAGTGACCAAAAACTAATTCATACTGGTTTACCAAAAAAAGGAAAGAAAAGAAACAAAGGGGCAGGCTCTGTCCAGGAGCTCCATGATGTCACCAAGATTCATTTCTTTTCTTGAATTTTGTCTACTTTGCCTTATCCTGCAATCCCAGCAGAATTAATTGCTTTTTCCCCCTGATTTGCAAAAGTAAGGGTTTTCCTGCCTGTTGGTCCAGCCTGGTTCTAGTATTTTACCTGGGAATCAGCATGACCAGGGGTATGAAATATGAAGATTGCCAGACCTGGAGTGGGCTGGGGGCGGTGCCCATCCCCAGGACTGAGGGTGGGGTAAGTGATCAGACCCACTTGAAAGTGGGACCTAGAATTGAGGAGGGGTAGCTCCCAAAGGAACATCAGGAAGCTGTTACCAGAAACTGATGCTTTAAAAATATAAAAGGCAGCTTCTGTACATTCTGTTCCGTAGCTTTTTTTGCCCCACGTAGTGTATTTTGGTCATTGCTCCACATGACTGCATGTATAACTGCCTCTCTTTCTTTTTTTTTTTTTTTTTTGAGATGGGATCTCCCTACGTGTTCGTTGCCTAGGCTGGACTCTTCTTAACTCCTGGGCTTAAGTGATCCTCCCGTCTCAGCCTCCAAGTAGGTAGGACTGTAGGCCAGCCTGGCTATAGGTGCCTCATTCTTGTTAATGAAAAGCCTTATATGCCCCATTGTATGGGCCTACTATAATTCATTTTAACCAGTTCCTCTTTTGGGGGGAGGGAGGGCTTAGGTGTTGCTATTAGTCTCATTCTATTAAAAGCAGTACTCAGTCCTGTTGGTCTCTGGGATTCTAGCTCTGGTAGTGCTGTCAGGGAGGCAGGAGCTTAGTAAAAGTTGGGTGCTCGGTAAATCTTTCTTCCTTCCTTCCACCTGGACCTACTCCCAGGTGATGTGTCCTGTCTTTGTTTTAGCCCCACTTTTATGCCTTCCTTGGGGCTCCGGAGGGGTCTTGATTGTAATCTAGTTATATTGTGATTTTATAATAGGGGCTGGTCACTATAAAAAAAGAGAGGAAAAAACATTTATATTCTGAAGGCTAAATTCATTCTTCTCTATCTTGGAACCCAGCAAAGGACATTCCTGTGGTGGGTCTTGGTGGATTTTCACCTGTGTTCATGTGAACAATTTCTGAACTGTAGGGGTCCATGTGTACCTCCTGCAGAAGGATTCCGCCTGCAGAGTATACTGCTGGAGGGTTGGATGGATTCTGTTCCCCAAGGTGGCTGCTTCCCCACAGCCTCAGGGCTCCCCTTGCTAGCACAGGCTGCTGCTAGTGCCAGAGTCATGACCCTGATGGTAGGTTGGCAGCTGATGTGAGATGATTTGGCTTGTGAATGAGTTAGTTGGATGAGCCATTTCACTCACAGCCGGAGGTCTCAGCTGTTTTCTCAGTACTTCTGACCCTGTAGCAGGCTTGAAATGAATCATACAAACACTGTTTTTATTAAGCAAATATATGGCAGCAGTGTTATTTCTTGGCACCGCTTGTCCTCACATGCAGCTAAATAAACCCCCTTGGAGTCTGGGATAGCCATTCTTGGTGCCCTGGTGAGGCTGGGATAGTCCCAAAACAGAAAGAGTCCTTTGAATTTCTCCCTGCTATACCCTGTTGGCCCCTAGCTACTCCTTGGAGCAGATTGGTGTCAAATAGAACTGGACAGTCCTCTGGGGGATGGTTTTCTCTGGAGCCGCTCAAGGCCTCTGAAATAGCTTGTGCAGGCTGGGATTATCTTTTCAGAAACCCAGTTACTTCAGAACTGAAATAGCCACCACCCAGCATGGTCAACATGTCCAGCCAACTGGCCAAACACGGCAAAAGATGAATCATTCATTCACTCAGTAGATACCTGCCAGTAACTATTCTAGGTGCTGGAGCATGTGAAGGTGACACACCTCCTTGCCTTTAGAAAATGTATAACTTGTGGGAAGTCAAAGTAGTTCCCAGGAAAGGCCCTGCCTTTGTCAAGGAACGGAAGACCTGACTATGAGAGCAGTTAGAAACATCTGGACTGTGGAGCCAGGTTGACCTGGGGCTGAATTTTTGTTTCTGCCATTTTCTTGCTTTGTGGCTGGGCAGGTTTATTCACCTGTAAAATGTTGTAGATGGTGGTACCAACCTCAGTTGCTATGAGGGCACTTGGCATAGTGCCTGGCTCACAGTAAGTACTTTTTAAAAATGGCAGCTATTGGTCGGATGTGGTGGCTCACGCACGTAATCCTAGCACTCTGGGAGGCCAAGACAAGAGGATCGCTTGAGCTCCAGAGTTGGAGACCAGCCTGAGCAAGAGTGAGACCCCATCTCTATTAAAAATAGAAAAAATTAGCCGGGTGTGGTGGCTCTTGCCTGTAGTCCCAGCTACTCAGGAGGCTGAGGCAGGAGGATTGCTTGAGCCCAGAAGTTGGAGGTTGCTGTGAGCTAGGCTGACGCCATGGCACTCTAGCCCAGTCAACAGAGTGAGACTGTCCCCAAAAAAATTAAAATAAAAAAAAAATGGCAGCTATTACTGTTACTTTTGGGCCTTGATAAACCTTGAGTGAATCCTCCTGATACAAGATCTAGCAGATAGAAGAAATTGTCTTACATTTTATAGATCTTTTTCCTGCTTTGCCTTGGTTAAGGGTTTTGGAACATGATTTAACCTCAGAGATTTTTTTCTTTGAAAAAGCTTGTGCCTGTCGCTGTGTCTTTTTCACTTGGCAGCTGGGGAGGAGGGTGAGGTTGTGGACTCTCTGTGGTGGGCTTGGGTCCTGCCTGTCCTTCTTTGCTTCCAGGTCCAGTCACATGGTAGGTGAGAATTCCTTTGAGGTGTCAACCTTGACCTTGTAGTGAACTGAACTGAAGCTTAAATGGTATAGAATTACTTTAGGTGATTCAGGGGTAGAATCTGTGAGAATCACTGTTTTAAATAATTTATTTGATGAGTATCTATTTTGTACCTGTGGGTAAGACGTCATGCATTTAATTGTAGGGAATATATGGCTTCTGTTTTCAAATGTTTCATTCCCTTTAGGTACAATAAGACATGTACACATATTTTATAGTAAAAGGCAGAGACTATATTATCATAATAAATAATAATTAGCTATCCTCTACTGACTACTTACCATGTGCCACTGTGCTGAGCATTTTAGACACTGCCTCCTTTAAATCACATGACAGTTCCATAAGGAAGGAACTATTTTCTCAGTTTTTTTTTTAGAGACGAGATCTTGCTGTGTCACTCAGGCTGGAGTGCAGTGACATAGTCATAGCTCACTGTAACCTTAAAGTCATGGGCTCAAGTGATCCTCCTGCCTCAGCCTCCTAAGCAACTGGGACTACAGGTGTGCACCATCATACCTGGTTAATTAAAATTTGTGTTGGTTTGTTTTAGGAGATGGGAGTCTTGCGGTGTTGCCCAGGCTGGTCTTGAACTCCTGGCCTCAAGTGATGTCCCCACCTTGGCCTCCCAAAGTGCTGGGACTACAGGCATGAGCCACTGTGCTGACCTCTTTATTTTATTATTGAGGAAACTGAGGCTCAGAGTTCAAGGACTAACAAGGTAGTTCAAGTAACTAATAAGGGTGGAGCTAGAGATCCCTGTCAGAAAGGGGGGCGGATAAAATATCAGTTCTGGGGAGGAAGCAATGGCTTCTGTTTTGTGGGGGCAGGAGATAAAAAGATCAAAGAAGTCTTTATGAAAGGGTGGCATTTTGAATTTGTACGCAAGGGTTGATAGGATTTTGAGAAATGGAACGCTGAGAGAACGCTTTGTGGGACAGTGAGGGGAATACAGGAATTGATGATCTGATTGCTTTTCCTGTTCTCTTTTCACTTACAATGGAGTCAGTAGGTGGGAAGATGAGTGGTTACTTGCCCTTTGAATCTCAGACACATGACTTCCACATGACATAAATGTGACTGCAGTCAGGAAAAGTTCACTTTAGGGTGACTGTGGAGTGTTGAGTAGTCAGAAGGGAGGAGAAGTAGTAGGGGCTGGCACAGTGGGAGGAGGTTTCCTGAAGGAGATGGAAATTCAGGTGGGTCTTGAATGGGTAGGACTTTGAGAGGTGTGGAGTAGACATTTGGGCAAGAGGAATAGCAACATCAGAAATACAGCCCTGAGAATCAGCCTTTTATTTCCAGAGCCTGAAAGAGCTGCTCGGTCAGAACCAGTATGATATTTCATTGCAGAAGCTGGCTAGGCCAGGACAGGCTGGACAGTGTGGAGTTGGGAAGTTTCACGAAAGGCCAGAACAAAATCTTCCTGTGACCTGTTCTTGCCTTCCTATCACATAGCTAGGAAACATCCACATAGCCTCTCAGATGCTGGCTCATGCCTGTCCTCGTTGCAGGGCCTGAGTGGGGGAGTCCTGACATGTGGCATGAAGAAGATACACACAGGCCGGCTTCGACACTGGAAATGGAACCACTTTCAGGGCAAGGGCTTGTTAATTAATTTGCTAATTCATCCAACCAGCAGATAATCAGTAAGGACATACTGTGTGCCAGACACTGCTTGATGGTCCCTTTCGGCTATCTGCCTACTCGTCTGATCCTGTGGAGGTGTGATGACACAGCCCTTGGCTGCCGTGTTTATGAGGATGGGTGTAAATTTATTTTTATTATGGATTTTTTTGTTTGTTTTTTCCTCCTGCAACAGGGTCTCGCTCTGTCACCCAGGCTAGAGGGCAGTGGTGTCACCATAGCTCACTGCAACTTCAAACTCCTGGGCTTAAGCAATCCTCCTGCCTCAGCCTCCCGAGTAGCTGGGACTACAGGTGGGCACAACCATGCCCAGCTGATTTTTCTATTTTTTTTTTGTAGAGATGGGGTCTCTTGCTCAGGCTGGTCTTGAACTCCTGGCATCAAGTGATCCTCCCACCTCAGCCTCCCAGAGTGCTAGGATTACAGGCATGAGCCACCGTACCCGGCCTTATTGTGCTTTCTTTAACTTTATTCATTTCCTTGACAGACAAAGCCACAGACCCAAGCGTGTCGGAACAGGATTGGTCAGCTATCCAGAATTTCTGTGAGCAGGTGAACACTGACCCCAATGGGTAAGGTGACTTCACACACACAACTCTGGGGGCACCCCAGGCTGAGTGTGTAGGCCTTTGTCTTTCTGGACTGTTTTACAGTTAGGCCTTCTTTTATTCTGTTGTCTTTCCCCACAATCTACTGAGTACATTATTTTTCTAAAATTAGTGCATTCATGTGCTTTTTTAAAACAGAATAGTCCATTTGCAACTGGCCATTATTAAAATTTTAAGTTGTGTTATAAAACACTAATGCAGGGGAGAACTCTGAATGTTACTGATAGAATGTAGCCAGGTTACATAATTGAAAGAGATCCATATATTCTCCATCATTTAAATGTAATCTTTCTTAAGAAAAAGGAAAAGGGTAAGGTTTTATTGAATTCTGTTCCCAAAGCATTTGGACAGGAACTGAAGAATCAAGTCAGTCTTCCAGATATTTAATCTATGTGGTGCCGAATATTCAGATGTTTTGAATTGAGCCCAAAGTTTGATCACACTTTCTGCACTTGTGTTCATTGAGCATTTATCACACACAGGCAGGGCCTGTGCTGCTCAGGACCTGGCTTCTTATAGGTCTGGGCCTGGACTGCCCAGCTTAGAGTTTGGGGGCTGGGGGCTTGTTTGGGTGGTAGGTGGGGTGAAGTCGATGAGCCCTGGGCAGGAGGAGGACCTTGAGTTTCTCCCTGACAGTGCCTTGTTGCTGGCATTTATCTACTGAATGAATGAATGACTCATTTTTTGCTATGCAGTGGTTGGCCCGTTGTCTGGGTGCTGCAGGTACAACAGGGTGGGCAGGAGTTAGCCCCTGTTAAGAGCCCGTGTATGGGCTTTGTGTCAGTCACACTCCACCTGTACTTTGGGACACCAGCTCCTGGAAGAGAGGTGACTTTACCGAGCATGCTCAGCCACACCGGATAGTTTTTTTCCTGCCTGCCCAGAGTCCAGGTCTTTTTGTTTTCCCTTAGCCCGACACACGCGCCCTGGCTACTGGCCCACAAGATCCAGTCTCCACAAGAGAAAGAAGCCCTTCATGCCTTAACGGTGAGTTTGGCTTGCCCCTTAGCCTAAGCTTTTCTGTCCTGATGCTAGCAAGAGTGCTGAGAGGGACTTTACCTCCTCCCCAGTCCTTTTCGTTGGGGTGGGGAGAGCACCTGAGTGGTTCACCTTCACAGACCTTGAACAGCAGGCTGGAGGAGGGAGTTGTGGGCCAGATTCTCCATCTTAGACCTGTTTTTGAGCTTGCTGTGGGAGAAGAAGAAGAAGGTTTTATTTCCATTTGCCCTTCTTAGACAGGCTGGCAAGTTCAAGTGTCCGCAGGGCCAGACAGGTAACATAAATGAGTGACGCTGCTGGGTGAGGACCAAAAAGCTATAGAGCATGTGCCTGTCTAAAAAGGGCAGCTGTAGCACAGAACCAGCCAGTGGTTGCCAGGTGTGAGTTTGGGACCAGGGTTGCTAGAACTTCCTGTTTTTTCAAGAGAAACTGGAAGTCTAGATTTTTGTATTTATTTTCTCTGAATGTTTAAATGTTGGTGATTAACTTGAAATGGTGAAAACCACAGTGTGGACCAAAGGAAGCATGTATAGGCCCAGCTTACCTCTCGAGTGCCAGTGGGTGACCTCTGGTTGAGTAGTTCTTGGGCACTGGATAGCAGATTTCTGCCTCTGGGGAAGGGGTGGTTCTCCAACCAGTTTTACCTCCCAAGGGTCCCCTTACAAGGTAGGATGGATGACCTCAGGGTTCGATATACCCCACTGAGCTATTTCCTGGGCATAAACCTAGCAGTTAAAGCAAGATTGAACAGGTGACATTTTTTCTTGATCTGAAAATGTCCTCTTTCACCAAAACTTGTGTCATAGGCTTGAGGAAGGGTTAGCTGTGGTTCCAGTAGAGTCACCAGCAGATGGTCATCAGCTTCAAGGAGAGCCCTGGAGCCACTGGCTTTCCATCTTCTCATGGGGGTCCTGTGTCTGTGCAGGTGCTGGAGATGTGTATGAACCACTGTGGAGAGAAGTTCCACAGCGAGGTGGCCAAGTTTCGCTTCCTGAATGAGCTGATCAAAGTGTTGTCCCCAAAGGTAAATACCTGGGCTTGGTCCTGCCTTCTTTGCCATACCTATGCCTATCTTTCAAACTCCTGTCTCCCTTCTCAGGCCAGAGGCAGGCCTACATGTGAAAAGAACCCCCTCACCTGTCTCTGGCTTGTGTGTGAAAGCACTTTGCTGTCTGAGCTCTAGAAAGACAGTTGTGCTCATCGGCTGACATCTGCTCCTCCATCGTGTTAGCATTTTCAAATTTCCCCTTTAAGATGGTCTGGGGGATGTGTGGCCTAGAGGAGGTGAGGAACTCTACCTTAGAGGCACAGTTTTCCTGGTAGAGACAGTGCCAGGTGTGACTTGAAGTTTTATATCGCCTCTTGTCTTGTCCTCTGTACCTTTCCTCCTGGCACCTGTCTTAGCTACGCCACTCTGAGCTAACCAGCATTGATTGAGCCCTGCGTTGCTGCATTCCAACAGCAGTTCTCTGGCACCTGCTGTGCATTCCATGATTAAATTCAACTCTGACACCACCCAGAATTACGAGTTACCTAGCCCCTACGTGTTGAGAGCTCAGTCCTACTTAGGGTGCTCCTACTTCAGACACCAGCTATGAGTCTTCTATGTCCTCAAGCTATTGTACTTCTGCACTGCCAACTACAAATTCAGGGGCTCTCTTGACCCCTTCTTCCCAGGTTCCATAATTCACTAAAATAACTCACAGAAGACAAGAAAGCACTATATTTCTATTATTGTTTTATCATAAAGGATACAAGCAGAAGCATGCATAGAGCAGGGGCTCAGTGGTGGGGAAGGGGAACACAGAGCTTTTGTGCCTTCTCATGGAGTCTGAGCTTGTCACCATCTAGTCATATCGGTGTGTTCACCAACCGGGAAGTTCTCTGAACCTCCTGGTGGCAGAGTTTTTAATCTGGGGTTTCATTACCCAGGCATGATTGATGAAATACTGGCTGGTTCACACAGTCCTGGGGTCAGGGGATGGAGTGGAAAGTTCCAACCCTCTAATCACATGGTTGCTCTGTTTGGAGTGACCAGCCTCTCCCTTGAGACTAAGCAGCCACCGTAAGCCATTATTAAAAACTTGGATGTGGTCCAAGGGGGCTTGTGAACAATAAGACCCTCCTGTGACTCAGGAAATTACAAGGGTTTTTGAAGCTCTTTGCCAGGAACTGGGACAGAGACCAAATTTTTTTTATTCCATACTTGCCCCAGTCAAAAAATGAACGTCCCCATGAATGTGGACAAGGATCTGATATAGACCCATATATGGTGGTCTTTAATTTTAGCAGTTTTGGAGACGGATTCCTTGAAACCCAGAAAAGGCTCTGGGACAGGGTGCCAGATAATTTGGCCTGTAGTTGTGCCTCCCTCTCAACCGGCCTCGGGCAGCTTGTTCCCTGGGCCTCAACAGCCCTCTGTTTATTGGAAGTATTGGCTGAGTGGTCTCCCAAATCCCTTCCAGCTCTAGAATTCTTTCCTTTTTACTTTCAGTACCTGGGGTCCTGGGCCACAGAAAAAGTTAAAGGAAGAGTCATTGAAATACTCTTTAGTTGGACAGTCTGGTTTCCAGAAGACATCAAGATCCGAGATGCCTATCAGATGCTAAAGAAACAAGGTCTGACTTCCTTTCCTTTTGTTGTATTCCCTTTTGACAGTGTCTTGTTTCTTCTTGCTTTTTTGTGTGCCTTATCATTTTTTGTTGAAAGCTGGACTTCTTGTGTAGGACAGTAGAGACTGAGGTGATTTTTTTTTTTTTTTTTAAACACAATATGGCTTTTATTTACTTTAAAAGTCACAGTGCAGATCTTCTAGGAAGAAGACATATAGGTTTGCTTTTCCCTTTCTGCCAGAAACCACCGGCACACCAAAGATCAAAATACAAACTATGTCACTAAACTAAAACATTTATTTTTATTTTATTTTTTAAAATCTTTGGTTGCATAAGAATCAACCTCTTTCTCTGAAGTAGTAGAATTTTTCCATGAAGTACAGGTAAATATTATCTCTGAGCCAGAGTTTGAAAAATACTATTCTGATACAAGTAATAACTTGCAAGCTTATAATACTTTATAGTTACAAAAGATCTTTCAATAACCATATAATGGATTTATTTTTTTTATTTTTTTTAGAGACAGAGTCTTACTCTGTCACCCAGACTGGAGCGTAGTAGCACCATCATAGCTCACTGCAACCACCAACTCTTGGGCTCAAGTGATTATCCCACCTCAGCCTTCCAAAGCACTGGGATTACAGGCATGAGCCACTACAGCCAGCCTTATTATTTTTACCTGACACACAAAATTATACATATTTATGGGATACAGTATGATATTTCAATACACGTATATATGATGTGTAATGATCAAATCAGGTTAATTAGCATATTCATCAGTGAAGTAAATAGTTTTTATTTCTGGAGATGGGTGGACCTTTCCTTCTGGTAGGCAGGATTTGAGCTGGGTTTGAGATTTGTTATTGCTATAGTTACCCTCACTGTATCAGACTTCAGATTTTTATAGTGTTAGCTCATGTTTAGGTTGGTGGCTGATTTGCTAGAGTTTTCCTTGGTATCTGCCCTACTCAGCTGTAGGTCTTCCTGTCAGTAAGGGTCTTTCTCTCTGCTATTGCTGCTCCTCAGGGTAGACAGCTGTCACTTGTTATTCATGGGGTGGAAGGGTGGGGTAGGGTCAGCCTGTTCTGATTAAGCCTCAGCCTCAGGCAGACACCGTGTGCCTGTGTCTTGATAGGATCTATTTGTGATCCTGCCCCACTCCAATATGGGTCTGGGCTCAGGACATAATTCCTGCCTCCCTCCTTCCAAACTCTTTCTCCAGCTACAGTGAGTTCCCACCACTGCTGTAAGGACTACAGGGTTTGTTGCCCTTCCCGCGGCAGTTTAAGACTTTTGTTCTGTAGAGAGAGAAGGATTTAGGTGGAGCCTCGCACCTTCCTACTCTTTTTGTTAGCCCCTGGTGAGGCTCCTGGAGAAGAGCTAATTTTCTGTGTGTTGCAACTTCTGGAAGTTCGATATTCTCTTGCTAGCTTACACTGGCCTACAATTTTTGAGCAATTTCAGCTGAGTTATTTTTATTGGCATTGCCTCTTGTCTCTCCTTGGGGGCATAATTTTGCTTAGATTTCAGGTTAATTGGTTGTTGCCCTGTGATCTCCGCTCTCTGAAGGATTCAGAAAAGTTGTGAATTTGCATGTTGTCCCGTGTTGTTTTGTTGTCACAATGAGGATGATGCTGATCCCACTCTTGTGCATCCTGTCTGGAAGATGAGAGTCTGAATTCCTTTTACATTGGGCTCTTCAGAAGAAGGAGCCCAGGTTCAGGATGGACTATTGTTCTGTCTATATGCACTCACTTTACATTTTTAGGGGCTTCATTGGGGATCCCACAGTAATTTCTGGGCCCTGGGAAGTTACGTACCTGCATAAAATGATCAGTATTTTTATAGCTAGTGTAAGGCCCACAGACTTACAGGCCTTAGAGACTGGTTCTTCTGACATGGCTGGTTCTGGTGCCCCTGACTTTGTGGTGGTTCCTTGGATTCTCCTGAGAGGTGATGCAGAGCCTCATTCATACCCTGGTGTATTCTTTTAAGGCCGTTGACAGTGTTTTCCTCTTGGGGTATCAGGAACTAGTGGTTTCTGGACTTTATTTTGGATTGCAGCTGAAGTCACTAAGTGTCCATATCAGTGTCTTAACTTTGTGAATTATATGTTTTAGGAATTATAAAACAAGACCCTAAGCTACCAGTGGATAAAGTCTTACCCCCGCCTTCTCCCTGGCCCAAGAGCTCGATCTTTGATGCTGATGAAGAAAAGTCAAAGGTAAGGAACTCCTCCCTGACCTCAGTGGCCTACATGGAGTGTGTTCAGACCTTTTCTCTTAGGGACTGTCCTTGAAGTGTCTTCTGATCCCTGAACCAGAGTGGAGAATGTGAGGAGGTGAGTTAGTGAATTCTCTGCCAACAGGACCTTAGGAGTAAAGGAGCAGAAGGTTTGGGTATGGTCTGCACGGATGGGCCAGATAATAAATGCTGTGTTCTTTGTGCCCTCCCACTTGTTGGTACAGGCGTTTCTGGGGGCAAGAGGGTTCAAAAGGACAACCCAAGGCAAGTGTGGGGCGTGTGGTGGGCGTGTGAGCCTGTCTTCACCCATTTTCTTTCCACTGTGACTTCCCAGAATTGTTGGCCTTGGGACATGAGTAAGGAGAGGAAAGAGAACAGAAAGGTGGTCAAAACCTAGGCCAAGACCCAGGAGTAACACTGTAGTGCCTGTGAATGGGGAGATCGCTTTTGGTCATTACTCTTCTTGGTCAGTCACTAACTAGGTCTGGTAAGCGCGGTATCAGGAACACTCCATGCCACGGACGCTCTTCTATTTGGTCTGCTCTGCCTTCCAGTTACACCCTCTCACTGTGCCCTTCCCTTGGTTTTGGATGCTCAGCGGCCATCAGGTCACTGTTGTCGGAACAAGCAGGGCTAGTCTAGGTTCTGGGCTGCCTTTCTCTCTGGCTCTTCTCCTGCTTGGTGTCTTAAGTTTACAAAGGGTGGGAGGGGCTGTGGAGTGACTTCTGAGAAAGTTAGAATCCTGTATCACTGGGGCTCATTGTCCCCATCTTTCCTGCCATCCATCGGAGAAAGATTGAGTGACTCCTGTGTGCCAGGCACTCCGCTAGGCATTGGGGACAAAGTGACAAACAAGATCACCAAGGTCTGTCCCCTCGTAGAGCACGTGGTCCAGGGCAACCTCAGCACTACTGACCTTTTGGGCCAGATAACTCTGTTGGGTGAGGGGGCAGCTGTCCTGTGCTCTGTAGGGTGTTTATAGCATGCCTGACCTCTACCCAGTAGGTGCCAGTAGCTTCCCCTCCCCAGTTGTGACAACCAAATGTCTCCAGACTTCGCCAGCTGTCCCCTGGGAGATACAATCCTCCCTGCTCCATTGAAAAACCAGTGGTCTCCTAGTACTCACATCATAGTGTCATTGTGACCATTTGGTAAGATGATGCATGTAAAATGTGTGAGCTGTTAGTGTTAATTCTTCTATTGCTGCTGCTTCCACTCTAGGCCTGAGGGAATTACGGTTTCACCTACTCCTCTTGTTCACTCCCCAGCTTTTGACAAGGCTTCTGAAGAGCAACCACCCTGAGGATCTTCAGGCTGCAAACCGGCTGATCAAGAATTTGGTCAAGGAGGTGGGCATTTTTCCAGTTGGCTCGCTAGAACAAGGATTTGACAAAGGACAGTGTGTATGCGTATGTTATTGAAGGGGTGAATGAACCATTGCCTGGAAAAAGAACAACCTGTCCTTGAACTCTGGGGAACAGCCATAAGCTCCCTGAAGAGCAGCAAGATGGTGATTAGAAGCAGAAATCCTCCAGTAGATGTGAAGGGGAAAAAAAAAAAAGTCAGAAATCTTGCTACCATCCTTCCCGGCTGCTCTCATCCATGGTTCTCAAAGCAATTTTTAGCTGCTAGCTTTTGTCCCGGGACAGGTATTGGTGTGGACAAAGTCCAGGCTTAGGAATCTGTTTTTCAGAGGGATTTGAGGCTGGTGGTAAAATGGGACTAGGTCACCAGGCCCCAAAGTGCATTATCCTCCCCAGGAATTCTGGGTTTTGAGTATTTTCTTTACGCGCTGAGTGAGCACTCACTTTCACTTAGTTCTGGTGACTCCCCTGAGCTTTCACCAATGACCCTTTCTCATCCTTTGTTCAGGCTTCATCCAGGGTTTCTGCTCCCTCACTTCCATCCTCCTTTTTCTGCCTAAAGGAACAAGAAAAATCAGAAAAGGTGTCCAGGAGAGTGAGTGCCGTGGAGGAAGTGCGAAGCCACGTGAAGGTGCTGCAGGAGATGCTGAGTGTGTACCGCAGGCCGGGCCAGGCCCCGCCAGACCAGGAGGCCCTGCAGGTGATCCTTCAGGGCTGACAAGAAACCGCATGTATTTATTCACAGCGTTTGGTGTGTTTTGACCTGTATACTTCCATGAAGCGTCAGTCATGATCAAGATAGTAAATATATCTGTTGCCTCCCAGAACTTCATGTCCCTTTGTCATCCCTTCCTCTCCTCCCTGTCCCCCCATGGCCAAGCAACTGCTGATTTGCTTTCTGTTCTGATTAGTTTGCAGCTCCTAGACTTGTATAAATGGTCTTTATTTTTGTCTGGTTTCTCTCACTCAGCATTGAGATCCATTCATGTTGTGCTATCAGTAGTTTTCTTTTTATTGCCGAGTAGTATTCCACTGTATGGATGTAGCACAGTGTGTGTGTGTGTGTGTGTGTGTGTGTGTATATTCATTTATCTGATGGTGGACATTGGAGTTGTTTCCAGCTTTGGGTGTGAATTAAGCTGCCATAAACAATTGTATGCAGGATTTTGTGTAAATGTCTAGGTTTGAGATTGCTAGGTCATATGCTAAGTGTATAGTTACCATTTTAAGAAACAGAGCATTGTCCTTGGGATGAGGAAAGTAGGACTTCGCGGATGTTATTGAGGAGAATGAGGTTTGGCTCTTGGGGAACCCTGTGGGTGGGCATCGTGGGAGTGTTACAGAGGGAATGCTGGCATTAGGCAACAGTGAGGATGGGCGGCTTGGATGTTAGTCATAAAGCAGGAGAAGTCATCCTGTTGCTGATGCTGTCCAGCCACGGGCAGAGGCGAGGAGCCTGAGGAAGAGAGGATGTTGTGCACATAGAGACGGTGAGTTTTTTCTGAGCTAAGGTCTTTGTCATTTTTTTAACTTCTTTTATTTTGAAAAAAATCTTACACTTGTAGCCCAAACTTTTTCTCAAACTCTGAACTCCTGTGTTAATTTAAATCTGCAGTCATGAATTTAGGACAGACTGAGGAGGGCTTCTGAAGCCACAAACTCCGTTGCATTCTTGACTGGAGGCACCTGGGGCGCTGTGTGTGGGCCTAGGTGTGTGTCGTGAACCAAGCTCTGTTTTTCCAGGTCGTGTATGAAAGGTGTGAAAAGCTGCGGCCTACCCTGTTCCGGCTGGCAAGTGACACCACTGATGACGACGATGCTCTTGGTAACATTTTATTTCCCTAGGCATAGCTAGCACCCCAAGTGCAAAATACACATGGTCCTTCTGTCATGCTGCTCTGGTGCCAGGATCAAGACAGGGTGGGCTTTAGGTTTTGTAGCGATTGGGTTTGGGAAGGAAGGGCATGGCCTGAGTTGCTTTAGAACTGACTTCAAGAAGAGTCTAGGCTTGCATAAGAAATCAACAGCAGATCTGAAGCCTAGAAAGGGGTGGAAATTTACCATGGAGATTGGGCGTTAGAGGTAGAAGGCTGAAAGATCGATCGCACAGAGGTCAGAGAAACAGCTGGGGGTGGTACATCTTGAAGGGATCAACTTGTGTACTTCAGGGGCCAGGCAGGCCACCTAAATGAGCCAGGCCGATGGATATGGTAGGGATGGTGTAGAATTGTCCATAGGTACTAAAACAATTTTAAAACTTTTTTATTATGGAAAATCTCAAAACATAAAAGAGGGGAATAGTAGGATAAATCCTATGTATTCTTCACTCATCTTTACTAACTACCAACTTATGGTGGATTTTCTTTTTTTTTTTTTTTTTTTGTAACTGGCTGATCTTTGGATCTTACTTCATCTATACCTCTTTGTACCCACCCATACCCTAGTCTACTTTGGAGCAAATTCTAGACATGTCGAAATAACCAAATATTCAGCCAGTTTTCAGATTTCCTTAATCATCTTCTGATAGCTCTGTAAAAAAATGAACAAAACACAGTTCTAAATCAGACTCAAAAGAAAAGCCACAGTTTGTAATTGCTTGATATTTCTTCAGTCTTTTAATGGATAGCACACACCTGACCTCCCCTCCATCTCTCTTTATGTTGCATGAAAGGTAGTTCCTTTGCCTTGTAGAGTTCTATTGGTCTGTTTTGCTCATTGCATCCCCTATGATGTTTAATGTTTCTGATATTTCTTTTTATAGCCAATTGGATTGGGGGCTTGATCAATTTTGGGTTCAGTTTTGGGGATGCTCAAGAATACATCATAGATAGTTGTTCAGGAGGCCCATGGTATCTGGTTGTCTGTCTGTTTTGAGTTTTTAAATTACTTGCACATGCCAAATGAAACACTTCACATGGAATTCAACCCCATGTTGCCAGTTTGCCATCTTTGTCCATAGTCAAAAAATTGGCAGGAAATAAGCAGTTGGTCACCCCTGAGAAGTAATCTTCCAGCACTTTGGCCTGCAATGTTTGTTATACATCGCCCCAGCCCTGTTGCTATTCTGTCTCTCCTAGGAGATAGTTGTCTGCAGGTAAACCTGACCATAGGATGCCCATGTAGTTTTTGAAATCCACTGCATGTTGTATGATTTTTGTTAGTTTGTTTTTGAGACAGGGTCTTGCTCTATTGCCCAGGCTAGAGTGCAGTGGCATCATTATAGCTCACTGCACCCTCAAATTTCTGGGCTCAAGCGATCCTCCTGCCTCAGCTTCCCAGATTGCTGGGACTACAGGTGCCTGCCGCCATGCCTGGCTAATTTTTCTATTTTTTTTGTAGAGACAGAGTCTCCCTATATTGTTTAGGCTGGTCTCAAACTCCTTGCCTCAAGTGATTCTCCCTCATTGGCCTCCGAAAGTTCCAGGATTACAGCATGAGCCACCATGCCTGGCCCTAGTGCTTTATACTTTGGCATGTTTCAGTTTGGATGCCAAAATTTTGTGAAAAATACTTGATCTGTATTTAGTGGTTTTTTTTTTTTTACAATTTATTGGTTAAAAAGTAGATTCTCATTGCCAATTTGTTATCTAAATACTTAAAAACTTTCCAATAACTAAATCAAGTTCTGAGAAATTCTTTCAATATTTGCATCCACATTGACAAAACAGCTTCAGGTTTTAATTTTAAATTAATTAAAAATTAAAGACCAGGTGCGGTGGCTCATGCCTATAATCCCAGCACTCTCAGACGCGGAGGTGGGAGGATCACTTGAGGCCAGGAATTTGAGACCAGCCTGGGAAACATAGCAAGACCTCATCTCTACAGACAATAAAAAAAGAAATAAAAGTTTTAGTTCCTCATTGAAAGAGCTATATTTAGAGTGCTTACTGCCAGCCATTATGTTGGACAGTGTAGACATAGGTGAAAAAATTTGCTTCCTTCTACATTGGGACCTAAGAGTATTAGGGCTCAGAGGTTCAGTGACTAGGCCTGATAGGGCCTGATTTACATGATCTTGGGGCAGGAGGCACAGATAACCTGAGCCTAGTCAGGCTTCATGTAGGCTGCTCTGCGGAATGACTCAGGTTGTAGAGACTGTTGGTAGTTAAACCAGGGGTTCTGATTCTTCTCTCATTCTTCAGCTGAGATTCTCCAGGCAAATGATCTCCTCACCCAAGGAGTTCTGCTGTACAAACAGGTGATGGAGGGCCGTGTCACCTTTGGAAACACAATGACCAGCTCAATGGGAGACATACCTGTCTCCAGAGGTATGTTTGAAAGCCTCTCCCTATCTTCTGCCTTGGGGCAGCATACAAATCCCAGAAAAAAAATAGGTCCTCAGAATATTCTGGGTTGTGGCACAGACATGAGAGAATTTGCCCTCTGATCCCTTTCCTGGGAAAACAGATTTCATGTAGCCTGACTGTGCCACAGGAGCCATCGCACGCTGACTGCCAGGCTGGACCTCAGCTTTGGCTACACACGGAAGCAGATGGCTGAGTCGTGCCGGGGTTTGCATTCTCATGAGTGCTTACTTACAGGACCAAGGAAATGGTTTTCCTCAGTGGTTCCGGGTGCCAGGCTAGCTGTGTCAGAATCACCCGGAACGCTGGTTAAATTGTAGACCCTTAGGTCCCTGGTTTGAACCTTGTGAATCAAGACCACCTGGAGCTGGGACTGGGTATCTGCTTTATCAGGTACTATGGGAGATTGTGACGCGCCGTGGTCAGAAACCTCAAAGGCCCTGAGCTGGAAAAGTTTG